GGGAAGAGAATCAAGATCTAAACAGAAGATTATAGAATTCCAGTTACCATCATTCATTTGCTTTGAATATAGAGTTAATATCTAGGTCTTTGCATTCTAATTGCTAAATAGATTGTGGTAATTGATTATTGTTCTGCCCATCACCTAAGAGTGTTTTCCTTTTATAATTATTTATTTATTTATTTAAATCCTCACCCAAGGATATTTTTACATTTATCTTCAGACAGAGTGGGAGGGAGAGAGAGAGAGTGAGAGAACATCGATGTGAGAGAGACACATCGACTAGTTGCCACCAGCACGACTCCAACTGGGGCCAGGGATGAACCACAACTGAGGTATGTCGTGCCCTTGGCTGGAATCAAACCAGGGACTCTTTGGTCCATGGGCCGACACTCTAACCACTGAGCAACCAGCAGGGCGAGTGTTTTCCTTTTAAAAACCTTAAATTCTGCTGAGATTTTATCCAGTGGGACCTTCCTTCAAAAGAAATTTAAAGAGTAGTGGAAGACTAAAAATTTTTTTTTTGAGGACATTTTTCCATTTTTTGTTCAGATAGAGCAGGAGGGAGGGAGGAAGGGTGGGAGGAAGGGCGAGAGAGAGAGAGAGAGAGAGAGAGAGAGAGAGAGAGAGAGGAAACATCAATATGAAAGGGACACATCGAGTGGCTGCCTCCCACATGACCCAACCAGGGCCGGGAACAAACTGCAACCGAGGTATGTGCCCTTAGCAGGAACCAAACCCGGGTCTCTCTGGACCGCTCTAATTGCTGAGCCTAACCGGCCAGGGCAGAAGACTATAATTTTTAAAAAATATTTCTCACTGTGTGCTTTTCATCATACAAGTTACATTTACATAAATACTTTTATAAGGATGTTCAGTGAAGCATGGTTTATAATAGAAAAAAAAGGAAACAATCAAATGTACATTGGTCGGGAATAACTAGGTAAATTATAGTGTAGGCACATAATAGAAAGTTATGTAGGCACCACGACTAAAAAAGGTGTGCTGGCTGGTTTGGCTCAGTGGTTAGAGTGTTGGCCCATGAATCGAAGGGTCTGGGGTTTGATTCCCAACAAGGGAACATACCTGGATTGCAGGTTCGACGCTGGTGAGGGTCATACAGGAGGCAGCCAATTGATGTTTCTCTCTTTCTCCCTCCCCCCTCCCTTCTACTCTTTCTAAAAATCAGTGGAAAAATATCCTTGGGTGAGGATTAAAAATAATTTTTTAAAAAGAATGAATAAGGTTATTATATGTTGTAATAAAAAAATGCCTATGATATACTCCTAAATAAAATAAAACAAAAGGCAGACAAAGATATAAAGCACAATTCTATCTTTTGTAAATACATGATCAGAAAAAGATATGCATTTTTAAATACATACGACTATATAAATTTAGATAAAATTTAGAAACTTATGCTCCCAAATTATTTAAGAGGAAGAGGGACTTCCATTTGCATATCTATATAATTTTTTCTGTAAAGAAGTAAAATGTATGGTTTTTCCATTTTGTGTATGAAACATATACAAAATGAAAGAGGAATATAAAGGCAGTCTAAGCCTTTTAATTGAATTTGAATTTCAAATGTGTGTCTGTGAAGAGAGACATTAGAATACACACACACACACACACACACACACACACAGATCCTCATTGAGATAAGCACCGAAGAGAAAACGAAATAAAAATATTAAATATTTATCACTTATAGGGACAGATTTTTGATGTTATGTCTTTTCCTTTTACAACTTTTTCTTAGTGTTTCAATAACTGCTGTCCGTTCTCAGATTTTTCCTTCTGCCGTCTTGCCGTGTGTATTCGTTTGCTAGGGCTGTGGTAAGGGAGTACCACACCGAGTGGCTTAAACAACAGAAGTGTATGGTCAGAAGTCCGAACCCAAGGTCCCAGCAAGGTTGGTTCTTTCTGAGGACTGTCCAGGAGATTTGTTCCAAGCCTCTCTTCTAGCTTCTTGGAGCCTTGGGAGTTCTTTGGCTTGTAGATGGCATTCTTCCTGTATCTTCACATTGTCTTCCCTTTTTTTGTTAATCCTCACCTGAGGATATTTTCCCATTGATTTTTAGATAGAGTGGAAGGGAGGAAGGAGAGAGAGAGAGAGTTAGAGAGAGAGAGAGAGAGAGAGAGAGAGAGAAAGAAATATCAAAGTGAGAGAGACACATTGATTGCTTGCCTTCATCAAGACCCCAATGGGAGCCTGAGATCAAACCTGCAACCCAGGCATGTGCCCTTGACCGGGAATTGAACCCTCAACCTTTTGGTCCACTGGCAGACGCTCTAACCCCTGAACCAAACCAGCCAGGGCTGTCTTCCTTTTCTGTGTGTCTGTCTCTGAGTCCAAATTCTTCCACCCCCTTTGCTTGTAAGGACACAGTCATATGAGATTAAGGTCCACCCAAATGACCTCATCTTAATTTAGTCATCTGCAAAGACCTTGTTTCCGAATAAGGTCACATTAACAGACAATAGGGGTTAAAACTTCAGTATCTTTTAGGAGGACATAACACTATGGAACAGTTGTCCTGATAGCTCTATTAGAATAAAATTAATTATGACCTCATATTTACTTAGAAATGTGTATGGACATCTCTCTTCAGAGTTATTTGGGCAATGTGACCTAAGCGGGGCTGGAAGAGTAGAAATCCAGGCACTGAGTCTGCGGCAAAGTTCTCGGGCCTATTCCAGTATGTAGGTGGTGTTCCAATAAACATGTGTTGAAGGAATAGTTATTATTATTTATTTATTTGTTTGTTTTTAAATATTTTTTCTTCATTGATTTTAGAGAAGAAAGGAAAGAGAGAGAGCTAGAGACATCGATGAGAGAGAGCATCGACTGGCCACCTCCTGCATGCCCCCCACCAGGGATCAGGCCCACAACCTGGGCATGTGCCCTGACGGGGAATCAAACTGGCGACCTCTTGGTGCATGGGTCTCACTCAACCAGTGAGCTACACCGGCTGGGTGAAGGGATAGTTTTTAAAAAGAGGGGGAAGTTCTTCAAGAATGAGGGGAAAACAGGGAAAGTGACATAGAGGGGGTGGGGTCTGAATACTATACCTTTCCAGGTCTCCACTTCCGGGGCTCAGGCCTGGCTAGCACGAGCTCAGGGACTGGTCCCCAGAGACAGTGAATTAATCAGGATAGTCTGGGGGAAGAAGGAGGAAAGGGAGAGGAAAAGGGGAGGGAGAGCCCTGGCCAGTTTGGCTCTGCGGTTGGAGTGTCGGCCCGGGGACCAGAGAGGCCCGGGGTTTGGTTCCCGCTAAGGGCAGTACCTCGGTTGCAGTTTGGCCCCGGCCCCAGTTGGGGTCATGTGGGTGGCAACCACTCGATGTGTCTCTCATGTCGATGTTTTTCTCTCTCTCTCTCTCCCTCCCCATCTATCTCAAGATAAATCCTCGGTGAGGATAAAAAAACGGGCCGGAGAGGGAAGAAGAGACGAGAAAGGCAGGAGGGAGGGAGAGAGCCTGGGGAGGAGGAAGAAAATAACATGAGAAGCCAGACCAGCCTGCAGACATGGGATCATGCAGTTTCCACTGTGGCCAACAGGCGGCAGTATTAGCAGCCTGGTGGATGAACCTTGTCCAGGGAGAAGACTCCGGTTCCTCTTGACCTGTGTCAGGTCATCGGTGGTGGACATCTGCTGTTGGTTTTGTGTTTTGTTTGGGTCCTCCTGACACCCATACTGTCTTTCTCTGATAACAAGTACCTCCATTTTCCTTTGGGGAACTACCCCGCTCGCACTGAGGTCTGCCTCACATACTGGCGTGGGCGGTGCACTGGCCAAGTCCAGAGGATCCATCCGCTTAGGCAGCTGAGTGCCGCCCACTGCAACTGAGTGGTGCCCGACCTACACAGCTGCCGGTGTCAGCCCCTGAATGATGGTCCAGTGGGTTGCCCATCTTACTCCTGGCCTAGGAGGAGCCGATTGTTTCTGACGGGGATGCGGTGAACAGCCCATGAATTCCGGGTAATGGAATGTGACCTCTGCCCAGTAACAGCCCAGAGGGCTGCGGGAACAAAAATCCTGACCTCTCTCTCTCCCCGCCCAGCTTGGATGACCTGTCAGTGTCTCCCATTGACTGGGTCCAACCAACAGCCAGAGGGCAAGGGAGCCCGGGTGTCATGACTCACAGACTCACAGAGCTCAGACCTCTGTGAAAGACAGCAGGCCGAGAAGGATCTGGAGGGGAAAACAGGGGTACCAAGCCTACAGAGGAGGAAATTGCAATTTATTATAACTCCGATGGGGACAGAGTTGCCAGGTAAAGCACAGGTGAACAGGTTCAACTGGAATTTCAGATAAACAACCAATATGGGCATATTCTAAGAATGTTGAGTACAAGGGCAATATATCCCAAGGACACTAAACCCGTATTCGTTGTTTATCTAAAATTCTAATTGAACCTGGTGTCCTGTATTTTCATTTGCTAAACCTGACAGCCCTAAATGGGAAGCCCATAAAGGAATTTGAAGCAAAGGAGTAACCTAATCTGATTTAGGATTTAATAAATATATTTATTTATAAAATCAAGACAATTTTAGATTACCATCAATAAGTTCAGAGGCTCCAGGGGCATGGAAATAAGCTCCAGGAGTGTTTAGACACATTCACGAGGCGAAGTCTCCACTGACCAGGTCAAGCAGTTGATAGGCGGGAGAGTCCTGGCTGACCCTGCCTGGCCTAGAGGAGCCCTGGCCATCTCTGCACTTCTTTGTCTTCCACTTGACATGGTCCTTTTCTTTCAAGGAGGCCTGCCGTGCCCAATATTTCATTCTGTCCTTACCACATTCTCGTGTGGAAAGTAGCTCACATCATTGTTAGGATGCAGCTGCAGAAACGGAGGCTCAGAGAGGTGCAGCAACCCACCCAAGGTCACACAGGGAGGCCAAGGTTACAACTCAGATTGGTGTGACTCCAAAGATCTTTCGCCTCTTCTCCAGGGTCCGTGTTGGGTGCTGGATGGCAGGTCTGGGTGTCGGGATCAGGAAGGAGGCTGCAGGGGCAGCTGCTGGCTTCGGTTCCTGTCGTATCTCTGCTGGAGCCGGGCATGAAGGTGGTGGACCCTCCTGGTCTCCTGGGCCGTGAAGAAGGAAGCGGCGATGAGATGCCGCAGTCGGCAGGCGTAGGTCTCCAGGAGGACCGTGGAACAAGCCACAAGTTGCAGGATCCCTGCAGCCAGGGCGGCGGCCGTGTGGGGGCGCTGGGCAGGCAGCAGTGGGCAGCCAGGGGACGTGAAGCGGAGCTCCCACTGGAAGGAGGTGTGGGAAGAGTGGGAGGCTTTCTCCAGAGGCGGCTGGTTGAAGAGGAAGGGGACGAAGTCCAGGACAGTGTAGGAAACCTCATAAAGGAGAAGAAGGCCAAGTCAACTAGCAGACATTGCAGCCATTCCCTGTCCCCCACCATCTATCGCTTGCAGAGCTGGGTCAACTTTCCCTGCCCTCATCTGTAAAATGGGCACAGAAGTAACCCTTTAAGGAGGATTAATCCAATTTGTACAAATGAGGAAAAGGGGGCTAGGACATGCTGGCACGCGTGAAAAGAGTGACCTTGGAGGGAAATTTTTTTCAACGTCTCTGGTATCAGTATTTTCACCTGCGGTAGGGGGTGGACACAGAACCCACTGTATCAGGTTGAAGTGGAAGTAAACTAGGTCACCTGCAGATGCAACACGGTCCCATAGCCTATCCCAGGGCTAGGACTTGAAGGGAAGTAAAATTCAGTTGCAAGCCAAGGATTTAACAAACCCTACCCCTTCCCTCAAAGAAATGACTCTATGCCCATCTTCTCATCACCACACTTACATCATACTTGACCACGAGCGTAATGGGCACAACAGGCAGCTTCTGAGCCCAGTCCACTGCAGCCTGTGCCAGGAGGAAGGCCATGTGGTCTGTGGCCACTGTCACAGCGGTGGCCATAAGGAGCAGGGTGAGCAGCCCCAGCCAGAGTACACAGCTCAGCAGCTCCCCCTGGGACAGCCTTGGCCTAGCTGCCCAGAGCAGCCAGGCTGGTGGGGAGGCCAGCAGGTGTGTGGTCCGGGCCTCCTCCAGCTGCTGAACCAACTGGCGCGTAGCGTAGACATTATCAAACTGCAGGTTGGACAGGTAGCAATGAAGATACCGGGCTGAGTTTACCAGGAGGCCCAGCATAAAGAGCCCTGTTACCACTTGCTGGGCCCCCAGTGCTGCTGCCCGGGCCAGGGACTCCAGGCCAGAAAAGTCCTCCAGGACCTGCTGAGTGACCTTGAGCATGTGAAGCCGGAAGACAGAGCCATTGCCCTGGGCCTGGAGTGTCAGGCCCCGATCAGTGGGACTCAGAGCCCTGGACGCTGTGTGTAGCTGGTGCGTGGTGTTGAGAAGACTCTCCAGGGAGCCCTCAGTGACACACCTCAGCACCTGTCCAGCTGCACCCACATTGGCCAAGACATTGGGCACCACAGTGACAGCCAAGGTGGCAGTACTCCAGGATAAAAGCAAGCGGCGGCCCTGCCCTGTGCCCAGGGTGGGCACACTGAGTGCAAATAGGCAGCGAGCTGGAGGCACCAGGCCGAGGCCCAGGAAGACCAGGAGGCCACAGAGAGTGGCCACCATGGCCGAGGTCCCCAGGGGATAAAGCAGCGAGGACACCAGCCAGTGGTGGGCCAGACCTGCAGCAGCAACAGCTAGGGAACCACACAGGAGGACCTGGATCAACAGCTGGCCACAGCTGGCTGGAACAGGCTGAGAGAAGGCAACCCAGGCAGCCTGCAGTGGGACAAGGGCCTTGCAGAGCCCCAAGTGCCAGAATCTCCACCTGCACACAAGAAATTAGGGGAACTTTTATCAGGAGGGTGGGGCATAGGTGTCTGCCCAATGTCCCTGCCCCACAAAACTTTCATCTGCTAACAGGCTCCACCCCATTAGCCGAAGGAGTGGGCACTCTCCCCAGATGGGCCAATCAAAGTAAACCACATGACCCAAAGCTGAACCAATCAGTGCCTTCCCCAGGATTATTGTCACTGGAGTTGTCAAAGAAGAGCCCAGTTTCCGTGCACTTTCTGAGGATGTGAGGATGAATGTCTGTGAGGGCAACTTGCCTAAGGGAATGGAAAAGTCATGAAGAGAGAAGCACAGATGAAAGAGGGAGAATTAGAGAGATAGAAATAAAGACTGTTTCACTGCTGGCTCATTGTGTGACACTGAACATTCCTTCTTTATGGACCTTAGTGTCTCCTCTATAATTTGGGGGAAGGAGGGTGGGGAAGAGTGGATCAATTAACCTCTAAGAAACTTTTTTACCCTATTTTCCTTGTATTTATTTATTCAAAAATATTTATTAAGCAACTACTATATGCCAGCCATTGGAGAAACAGAAATGAATAAATAGACATGAATCCTTGCCCTTGTAGAACGTACATTAAAGAGTGGAATTGTATGAAGAGGTTGGATTCTGGGTACATTTTGTTGGAAGAGCCAACAAGATCGACTGATTGGCTGTGAGTGTGAGAGAAATATGACCATGAGTTTTGATGACCTGAGCAAATGGAAACATCGGGGCGTCATTCCCTGAGACAGAAAAATCAGTGGTTCAAACGGGTTTGAGTGGAGTGGGAGAGGAGGAATTCAGCTGAAAGTCTTAAATTTGAGTTGCCAATTTAGCCATTCAATGGAGCTATTGAGTACGTGGTTGGAAACACGAATCAGGAATTCAGAGGAGAGATCAGGCTGGAGATACAGTGTTGGGCATGCTGATCTGTAGATGGTATTTAAAGTTAAGAGACAGGATGAGATTCCTGAAGACATGTGTTGATGAGGAGGAGAGAGATCCAAGTAATGAGCCCTTGCACTCCAGGGTTAACAGTTTGGGGATGAGGAGGAGTCAGCAGAGGAGACTAAGAAACAGCCAAGGAAATAAAATGTTTCAAGAAAGGAGCGATCAACTACGTCAAATGCTGTCGATGGGTCAAGAAAGATGCAATAGTTGATGGGCGAAATGTGACCAAGAGAGTTCATTTACGAGGGAAGAAGCTTTGGCAGGTTTGCAGATGGGAGATCCAATCAAGAGCGGGGACAATGATGAAGCCCCGAGGGCTCCCTGCGTGATCTCCTTCATGGGTGGGGGGTGAGATCAAGAGCACAAAAGGTGGGGCTGGTCTTAGAAAGAAGCAGGGGTCAATCATTCTCAACAGTAGGTGGGAAGGCAGAGGGAAAGGGTACAGATGATGGTGGATGGATAGGCAAAGTGTGGGCAATTACATATCAGTATCATCTGGTACACACAGAACACAGCAACGGTTAAAGGCATGACTCCAGGCTGCCTGAGTTCAACTCCCCACATCACCACTCACTATCTGTGCCATCTTGGCCAGGTTTCTTAATCTCTCTGTGCCTCAGTTTTCTCATCTGTAAAATGGTGCAATTAAAGTAGTACCTCATGGGTCATTTTGCGTCTAGCAAATTGTATCATGTCAGCTATTATCTGTTACTAGAGCCTCCACCAGGCAGGGACTTGGTCTCTTTGGATCACTGATATGTCCTGAGTGCTTAGAATAGTGCCCGGCTTGTAGTGGGGGCTCCACAGGTATTTGTTGACTGTAGCCTGTTTGCTTGTTTGCTCAGAATGGCAGGAAGCGAGGTCAGCACTGATGGTGAGGATGCTGGAGGAGGCAATGAACTTGAAGACAGAGGGGAAGATATAACACAGTTGTCCAGGAAAGTGAGAAAGCAAATGAATTAGGAAAATGATATACATGCCAGGCAGCATGGAGACCCCCCTTGAGGTTAAAGATAATGAAGTATGGCCTTCCCAGCCTCTGAAGGCATTTGAATTTGAAACAAACCCCCTCCTACTATATAATTAGTATTTGAAACCGGTAACTGTGAAAATAATAGCTACTATAAACAACATTGGAATGAAAAACCAGTTCTAAGTCATACGGAGTGCCAAGACCTGTGTTAAGTGTGGTCGAGACGGATGTTAGCTGCCACGCGTCGAGTGCTTACTCTGAGCCAAGCATGACAGCAAGCCTTCTGCGCGCTTTTCCTCATTCAAGGCTCACAACAGTCTTGCAGACATTATTATTCCTCTCATTTCACAGATGGGGAAACTGAGGCTCCAAGAGGTAAGGATTTACCCAAAGTCATGCCACCAGGGAATATGGTAGAGCTTGAGACCTAGGCTCACCCCCGATGCCTGACTGCTGACTGTTTTCTTGCCTGTGGCCCCCAGTGTCCAAGTTCTCTAGACCTACCCTGTCCTGACGAGGTGCTCAGCTGTCCCCTGGAGGGTCCTCATGCCTCTTGCTCGGCAGCCGAGCCAGCCGGGCAGCCGCAGGCAGCGGCAGCAGGTGGAAAGGAAGTGTGTGGAATGTCATCCTCTGGGACTTGGGAAACCCTGTCACTTCTGCTTTTTGGCCCTTTACGTCCTCCTGGTCATCTTGTCCTGCCCAGCCGAGGCCCACCTCCCAGGGGGTTGGGCAAGCTGCCTCGTCCTCTTGTGGTCGGCAGGAGTGGGTAGAAAGTATGGGAGGAGAGAAAAGAGCCTCTTCCAAGCAGCCTCTCTGGTCCTGATAACAGGAAAGTGGAATTAGTCCCTTTTCCCAGAGGAGGAAACAGGCTCAGGGAAGCCTTTCAGCTCCTTGGTGGTAGTGCCAGGACTAGAACTCCGCTCAGCGTCCTCTCTCCCTCCCCTTCCGCAGTTAGGTGACCCGGGAGCAGCCTGATTCCAACTCTCGTGGTGGTGGTGGGGAGACCATAGGAGACAACTGGACTTCTGCTAAGACTCCTCCAACCATCAGCACCTCTGGCCTTTCTCCCCAGCGCCCCTCCTGTCATTAGCCCGATGGGGACCTGACTTCGAAGCACAGCTCTGTCCCTCCCTAGCTGTGTGACTCTGAGCAGGTGACCTCATCTCCCTCAGTCTGTTTCCTCTTCTTAAAAGAGAGTAATTGTGATAACAGTGAACAGTTATTGAGCACCTGCTGTGCATCAGAGATGCTTCTAAACAATTTCTATTTGAATTCCTTGATTCTTAACATCTAACAACCTTTGGTGGTAGGGACGGTTATTCCCATTCTTCAGTTCAGAAAACAGACCCGGAGATCTCAGTCCCTTCACCAAGCCGCTCAGCTATTCAGAGGTGAGGCCGTGATTTATACCCAGTAGTCGCGCTCCAGAGTCACCTGGTCAGCCACTGTGCTCCGCTAGGTGTGGAGGGAAGGAGTCACAGGACTCACGAGAACCTTGTGATTCCTCTGATGCTGCAAATCGTAGGCGCTCAATAAATGTGCACTCCCTGTATGCACTTGGCTGCGGTCGCTCCCTGCAGGTACACTTCCAGGCTGTTCTCTCCCCGCATCTCTGGGGCCTGTCACTGCTGGTAGGATTGCTTCCTCCAGGGGGCCTTTTCCGAGTCCCCAGGTCCCACTCTGCAGGATGGGCCAGTTAGGGGACACTTAGATAGCATTCTGGACTCCCCGTCATTTTTCCTTATGAGGACACGGTACCTGGGTCACTTGCTTAGGCCTAAAGGAGGATGTCCTATGGCCCAGATGGGAGAAGTGACCCACTTGAATGAGACGCCAGTGGCGTGCGTGGGGCCGGCCAGCCAAGCTCAAGAGCACAGCAGTCCAGATGGAAACATCGTGCCCCCCAACATGTGGATGCCTTCACCAAGGCAGCTTCTGCTCTGCTCCAGCTGAGGGTCCGAGTTACCAGATTTTCCACATACTGTGTGGGCCATGTGATCTCGGACAACACACTGTCCCTCTCTGCACTTGCGGGGATTCTGCTGTAATGAAAACACTAGTACCTACTTCTTGGGGTTGCTTGAGGATTCAATGAAATAATGTACGCAGGGTGCCCTCTTACCGGGGCTGCCAGCTGGGGCTGCTCAGACCTGATCTACAGAGTTCTGTGATGCCCGCTGCCCAAGATCCCTGGCCAGGCTCCCACGGCACAGGACATGTCAGGGCATTGTGCTGGCCAGAGAGGAGCAGTCCTGGAAGACCAGCATGCGCCCAGTTTCTGCACGGGCGTCAGGGAGCTGACTGACTAAGGGTCATGTTGGTCATTTCCCGAAAGCCTCTGGTGGCTCTGTAAGATTTAGGAGGATGGGGACATAGGGAGCGAAAGGGCAGAAGATATTTTTGGCTTTTCTCAGCACATGTAGGCAGTTGCTTCTGCCTACACAGGGCTGACTTGAGTCCAAGGCCCACAATATCTGGAAGGGGCTTCTGAGTCACCAAATAGAATCAGCGTCGTTGAGGGGAATTTCTGCACAGAGGATTCAGAGCCATAAGACAGGACGGGAAGAGGAAGTGGTAAACCCTTCGTACAATGGGGAGGCGTTGAAGTTTACAGCCTGTGACTGTCGAACAGCACTGCCAAGCAGTTGGTTTGAGGATATGGAGGGGTGGTTAAAATCTCCCCAAACAGAGAGTGCTGTCCAATGGAAACAGAATGGGAGTCATAGATATAATTTAACATTTCCTAGCAGTCACTTAAAAAAGTGAAATTAGCCCTGGCCGGTTTGGCTCAGCGGTAGAGCGTCGGCCTGCGGTCCAGAGAGACCCGGGTTCGGTTCCTGCTAAGGGCACGTACCTCGGTTGCAGTTTGTCCCCGGCCCTGGTTGGGTCATGCGGGTGGCAACCACTCGATGTGTCCCTTTCATGTCGATGTTTCTCTCTCTCTCTCTCTCTCTTTCTCCCCACTCTATCTGAACAAAAAATGGAAAAATGTCCTCGGGTGAGGATAAAAAAAAAAAAGTGAAATTAGTTTCGATAGAATGTTTTACTTGCCCTGGCTGGTTTGGCTCAGCAGTTAGAATGTCAGCCTAAGGGCTGAAGGGCCTTGGGTTTGATTCCTGGTCAAGGGCATGCACTTGAGTTGCAGGTTCAATCCCCAGCTCTGGTTGGGGTTCTGTGGAATCGATGTGTCTCTCTCACAATGATGTTTCTCTCTCACTCTCTCTCTCTCTCTCTCTCTCTCCCCCCCTCCCTCTCTTCCACTCTATCTAAAACTTAGTGAAAAAATATCTTCGGGTGAGGATTAAAAGAAATTGTTTTAGTCAACCTAATATATCCAAGATAGTATCCTTTAAACATGTAATCAATGTGAAAATTATTAATGGGATATTTTACATTCACTTTTTCACACTCAGTTATTAAAGTCTCGTGTGTGCTTTATACTTACAACCCATCTCAATTTCAACTGGCCACATTTCAGTTGCAAGTGGTTACTGTATTATACAAGGCAGATATAGACCATTTCCATCACCACAGAAAGTTCTATTGTGAGTGCTGCTCTAGATCTTTAGAACCCGTGACCACTAAACCTAAAATGGACTTTCCAGATCATGTTGCTCAGGAGTCATAGATTCAAATGCCTCCAGAAGCCAAGAAAGTGACAGAGTCAAATGAAGAGAGGTAGTATAAGACATTAAGGAGGGGTGGGGACTGTGGCAAACAGGAGGTTCACCCTCCAACTTAAATTCTCCCACCACAATTACTCAATTCCAAACAATTATTGCCACATAGCAATGAGATCTTCTGGTATTTTCTTCTCCAAGAGAAGCATAAGTCCAGGTTTTAGTGTGAAATCTCCTGAATTTAAAATATTAATAATAAATTAATAGTTTAAAACTCATGGAAGGGAGGGAACCTGCCTGTGGGCCAGAAATAGTCCCGGGGACTGCTAGTTTGCAAGCTCTGATGTGGTATAAATCTTCCATGCCACATTTTCTGTTTGCCCCTCCAGACCCAGTCTTCACTCTTTTCCTCCCTGCTTTGTGTTGCCAGAGGTGGACCTGGGTGGGCTGCAGCAAAGGATTCCCTTGCATTTTGGCTTCTGTTGGTGTGATGGTTAATTTTAGGCGCCACTTTGTCCAGGCCCAGATATTTGGTCAAGCATGATGCTGGATGTTTCTGTGAGGGTGTTTTCGATGAGGTTTACATCGATATCACTGGAGTTCAAGTAAAGCAGATTGCTCTTCATAATGTGGTGGGCCTCATCTAATCAGTTGAAGGCCTGAATAGAACAAAAGACTGACTTCCCCTGAGCAAAAGGGAATTCTGCCAGCAGGCTGCTTTTGGACTATTTCCTGGGTATACATGCGCATGCACACATCCTGTTGGTTCTGTTTCTCTGGAGAACTCTGATCAATACAGTTGGGTTTGCCAGTGGGGAGCCCCTGCAGAAAAACTGAGTGAGGGAGGACAGAAAGATCCAGGGCATCTCCATCACTACGGAGTCATCAAGAGCAGATGTGGCCCAAGACTAGAGATGCCAGCTCCAGCTAGGCCTCTCTTTCCCTCAGACCTCAGGTTGGGAGGTACTTCTCCATGACTAGCCCTCCCTCCCACCACTGGGGCCTGCGCTCTCCCTCGCGGCTTCCTTGTCCTCTGCTCACACCTTGTAACTAAACCTTCGGCTAAACTGTCCTCAAACTAGCTATTTATGTGCTTCCTATCTCCTTTTGAGACCCTGACTATGCATTCCCATCTCTCAGATGAAGAAACCGAAGTCCAAAAACAGCCAAGGACCTGCTTGAGGTCGTGTGTTAGGGGTGGAGCTGAGAGTCCAACATGGCTTATTGAATTCTTCATTCAGTGACTTCTATATCTATTCTTTTAATTTGCCACCACTGCCTCCATTCTTCTGCCCACTGATTGTACATAAATCTTTCTGGATTCCCAGGTGGCAGCAGCACAGTTCGGCCGCTGAGACCCATCCCCAGTGGCATCAGCAGAAGCTGATCAGGAGTGGTGCTCCAGCCCAAGCAGCAGCAAGACTCGGGGAGCCAAGACCTGCATGACTGACCAATACCAGCTGCCGGTTGTCAATCCTCCAGGACCCACAGCAGGCAAGAGGCACCACGCACCAAAACAGTCTGGGAGGGATAACAGCCTTATTTGATACACACTGACCTGCCTACACATTCCAACATCCCTCCCCGGGCCTAGAACTACCAGATTGCTAACATGGTGAGACAAAGAAACAACACCCAAATGAAAGAAAAGGAGGAATCACCAGAAAAGGAACTACAGAAAATGGAAGAAAGCAATTTGTCAGAAAAAGAATTCAAAGTAACGATTTTAAGGGTGCACAAACAATTAGTGAGAACTACAAGCGACTTAATAAGAAGTATGAAGAGCTCAGTGGGAACTACATCAGCTTACAAAAAAGATGTAGAACCTATGCATAAAAATCAGGAGGAAATAAAGAATGACATAACTGTTATGAAAAATACCTTAGAAGGATCCAATAGCAGATTAGAAGAAGCTAAAGATTGAATCAGTGATTTAGAAAACAAGGTAAGAAAAAACCACCCAAATAGAGCAGCAAATGGGGGAGATGACATGGAGGGACCTGGAGAGTATTATCCTAAGCAAAACAAGCCAGTCAGAGAAAGACAAATATCACATGATCTCAGTTATTTGTGGAATATAATGAACAAAACAAACTGATAGAAAAATAGACCCAGAGTCATAGAAGTAGGGTACAGACCGACAAACCTCAGAAGAGAGGGTGGGGGGGCAGGAAAGAGTTAAACCACAGAACTTATATGCATGTGTGCATAACCAATGGACATAGACAACAATGCAGGGATCAGAAGGAGGGTGTCAATGGGGGAAAGAGGAGAAACATCTGTAACAAAAATAAATTAATTTTTTAAAAAAGGATAAGGGATTAAACATGAAAATCTGCAAATCAGTAATAAAGGAAGAGGACAGATTTGTTGCAAAAAAAAAAAAAAGAACTGTAAAGGGTCTGGGACTTTACCCTACTTGCAAGCTAATAAGTTAGCCAGCTATTGTTTCTTGCAAGCTGGTAGGAGATATGAAACTCCTGGATCAGAGACTCGTTGCAAATGGTGTTGGTGTCAGTTCTACACGTCCTTGAAGTCCCATGGAGATGACTTAACATGCGTGGGTCCGGAGGACTTCTGCACATGTGATGGGTAGTATACAGGAGAGGAATACTTTAAGAAGGGCCTGGGGACACGCCCCTTTGTGGTGGCCCGATAGAAAGCCTGCTTTTGGTTTGAGAAAAGAGGTTATGTCATCCCTCAAGCTTGCTCACCACAAAGGATGACATAACCTAACCCGCCCCAGGTTGCTTGCCAGACCAATAGTAACAGTTTAACATCTCACCAGATCACGAAGGTTTGGGCTTCCTCCCCGTTCACCATCACTTATTGTCCACTGTCTTAGTTCTTGCCAGTCTGGTTGGCATATTGTTGAATCTTGGTTTGACTTGGTTTCTCTGATTACAAATGGGTTTGAGCATCTCTTTGAAGCCTGCTGGCCACTTAGATATTGCTGTTCAGAATGGCATGCTTATGTCTTTCACTCAATTTTCTCTTGGGTGTTATGGTAGAAGGCTTCCGAAGATGGTGGCTACCCATCCTTGTACATGGATGCCCCTCCTCTCAACAAGGAATGGAGTCTGTTTCCTGCCCTGGAACCAGGCTAACCTGTGACCTGCTTTGACCAAGAGAATATGTCAGAATTGATGTTCTTGGACTCCCAAGCCTTGTAGTTTCTGTTTTTACCTTTCTAGAAGCCACTGTCATGTAAGGAGGCCCAGGCTGGACTTCTGGAGAAGCCACGTGACCCTGGAGGATCCACATTCATGATAGACATTCCGACTCCAGCCAAACTCCCAGCCGAGTGGCCCTGGCCACGCCATGTAGAGCAGAGACTAAACCATCCCTGCGGAACTCTGTCCAAACACAGAAATGTAAGCCAATAAATAGTTGTGTTTTAATGCCCTGATTTTGTGGGGTGATTTGTTATGTAACCACAGGTAACTAAAATGAGTGTTTTGTTTTTGTCTCTTCTGACTTCCTCGTATATTCCAGACATGAGTCCCTGGTATATCTCCAATGACTCTGCACACTGCCCTTGCCTGCTCCCACCCTCCCACACCGCCACAAGCACATGGCTGACTCCTCTGGTCTCAGTCCAGTGCCGCCTCCTCCAAGAAGTCCTCCCTAGCTTCTCTGGCTACAATAGCCCCTGAACCAGTTTGTCACATTGGCCAGTTTCATTTTCTTCTTAACCCGCATCCTGACCAGAGCCCTTTTATTGATTTGTTTACCTGCCTATTGTCTGTCTCCTCAGCTAGGATGTAAATTCAAAGTGGGTGGGGACAGTGAATGAGCACATAATAAGTAAATATTATTTAATGAATAAATAGAAGAATGAGTGAGCCCAGAAATGAACCAAACAGGCCCCAGATCAGAGGGTGAGGTTGCTTTTGCATAAATTCTGACAGGTTCATTCATCAAACATTTACTGAGCACCTACTCTGTGCCAGAAACTGTTCAAGGCACTGGAGTTACCACACTGAACACAATAAAGTTTGGATTCTCCTAAATTTATATTTTAGAGAGAAAGAAATTTAATAGATAAGAAAATAAATAATACACTGGCCTGTCTTAATATAAGAAAAATATAGCAGCATAAGGAGATGGAGAGTAATGAGGATGGTATTTTAGACCAGATGGTCAGGGGAGCTCTGAGGAGGTGACGTTTGAGCAGAGACCTGAGTCAAGTGAGGAAACAAGTATATATTTGGGAGCCAAGTGTTCTAGGCAGAGGGAACAGCACATGCAAAGGCCCTGAGGCAGAAGGGTCTGCGTGTGTGGCTGGAGTAGAGCAGATAGGAGAGAGCAGTAAGAAAGTGTAGTTAGGGAGATCAGTTCTGTGGACTCCCAGCTCGGGAATTGGGGGGTTTGAAGCTCTTTGATGTCCAGAAAGGCACAAAGTCTCCAGGCCCAGTGTTGACTCACATTCTTTATTTCACAGCATTTTCAATCAGAAGTATTTGAAATCACGATTCATCTAGGTACAAGTCCCATGGCTTTCTCTGTGAGTGGAATTCTGTCTTCCCCCGTTCCACAGGAGTGCACCTTCCTCCACCCCATGGGCTGCGACTGTGACTAAATACCGACATTCTACTTAGAGGGGAAGGAAGTGGCCTCTTCCTCTAACCCAGGAAACATCCATGACTCACTCCTGCGGTCCTGAGGAGGAGTTCAGTCTCGGGAACTGCCTTCCCAGCCCACGCTGCTGCTCAGGGAACCTCCTCCCTCAGAGGTGCAGGAAGGGGAGAGGTGAGGCTTGGGGGCCCCTCGGGTGGTGCCTTTGCTGGTGCTACTCTGACCCCAGGCCACTCATTCTACAGACACTTCCTGAGCATCTGCAGGGCCCAATACTGTGCTGTCCGCTGGAGATGCCCCGGTGCTTCTGCGTGAAACTGGGAGTGATCGAGCCCCCTAGGAGAGCCACCCGGCCACTGGCTCACGGAAGTCTCAGTGTCCTGTCAGTAGAAAAGGACTGTGATACTTTGCCTGCCTAAGATACTTTACCCTGGCCCTTCACAGGGCCCCGATTTATCTTTTGACTTTCCTCTCGCCCCTGAAAAAATGTGGCCTTTGCTAATCAATCAAGCTTGCCACTTGGGGTGGGGGTGGGGAGGAAAAGACCGGCTGATGAGCAAGCAGTAGCTGACAGCCACAAAGGCTTCTGCCGGCCACATGCAGGAGGGTCCTGGCTGGAGGGGCTGAGAGTCACCTGCAAGAGAGCAGGACCCAGGCTTGGCCCAACTCCAGAACTACAGGCCGAACTGAATCAGATTAAACAGGAGGATCCTGAAAACTCCAGTAGAGATGCCGGCGGGGGGTTCTAGAACCCCCTGTTGTGTTTGGGAGCCCAGAGGAGCAGTAAGGAGGCTTTGCCCAGTCTCCACGTCCTCAGGAAATTATCTGTCCCTCCCCCTCTGCACAGCTTGAAAATGTCCCTGATTGCTGGGTACCAAACAGATGGTGCAGAATGGGCACCAGCTGAACAGAACACGCACCAGCCGTGGACAGCTGGAAGAGGTGGACGGGAACACTGCAGCCCCAAAGCCTCTCAAGGAAGGTGACCCCTTGAGGCAAGATGGTCTCTCCGGAGTGCAGCCTAAACCACATTCAGCTCAGACAAAGGAGTGTGTTTCTCAGCCAGCAGCTCTGGGAACTATCTGGGCCCTGAACTGCACGAGCGAGGAGAGGGTGCCCTAGATAATGAACTTGTTGACCCAAGTGGACCACTGGACATCTGATTCAGTTCAGCTGTGATTCTGGAGTTGGGGCAAGCCTGGGCCCTGCCCTCTCGCAGGTGACTCAGGCCCCCTCAGCCAGGACCCTCCTGCGTGTGGCCCACAGGGGCCTTTGTAGCTTGCTGCGCACCGGATCGCAGAGAACTGCTTGATCCTTCTGTCTGATCCTAAGAGCAGGTGATGGTAAAAGCCTTCTGGGAGGGCCCAGCCCAAAGAGAGTCTCCAAGGAGGGCTCAGAGGGCCTGCAATGTCTTGTTGGTCACAAACGTGGGTGGCAGCGCTGTAACATTGGCCGAGTGGCTGTGGGCCCAGTCTGGGAAGGTACCCAGCTGGAAGATGGGCTGTGCCCAAGTATTGATGGCCATGTTGAGCAGCAGGAGGCCAATCAGGTTCATCAGGAAGCCAGCCCGCACCTGAAATAGAACGCAGACTCAAGATCCATCATGTACATGGAAAAACACAGGCGCATCACACACATGGAAAACCCCAAAGTCATTCACCCAAACCCAGCTCGGTCGATGCCTAAGACCCTCCCATCCTTACACACCTGAGACTGTCCCTCAAAGTGTTGCAAATGTCCTCATTCATCGAGTGGTTTTGAGGTGCCAGGTACTGTGCCATGAAGCTGTCACAGGGTCATTTAATCCTGACAGCAACCCTACAGCGCTATTCTTCTTATTGTTCCCGTTTGACAGAAGTGGAAAATGAGGGCCAGAGAAATTAGCTTATCCAAGGCTACACAACTTGAAAATAATCTGACTTGATCATTAGACATTCCCCACCCCCACCCCAACAACACATACACACACACACACACACACACACACACAGTGTGTGTTACGTTAAGGCTATACTTTTATTTACTGGGAAAATATTTTTCTCCTGGAAATTCTCACCTCTTTAAATAGCTGGAGAGAACTGCTCTCTCGTGCCTTCCCCAGGTAACCTCTCGAACTAGGCAGTCCAAACAGGACTGAAATGCCCCACTTCCCAGCTGGGTTTCTGGTGGTCCCCTGAGTAGTCCGGTTGTGACTCTCACGGTCATTCCCTTTCCAACTGCTTTTCACATCACAGCAAAACACGTCCCCCTTAGGTGCTACCACGCCCTTAACACTTCTCTCCTCCTCGCCCACTGCTCCTTTTAACACGCAGGGGTCCAGAACCTTCTTCAGGCAACTGTTATCAGGGAGAAATATCCTTATTCTGCCTTCTTCCCTTTGCATTTATTTTTAGACTTGCCGTCAATGGTATGCAACACTGGTGTTCCATGTACACGTGCGTGGGTACATTTCCTTTTTTTTTTTTTTATCCTCACCAGAGGACATTTTTTCATATTTTGTTCAGATAGAGTGGGAGGGAGAGAGAGGAAGAGAGAGAGAGAAACATCGATGTGAAGGAACACATCGAGTGGCTGCCACCCGCACGACCAACCAGGGCCGGGGACAAACTGCAACCGAGGTACATGCCCTTAGCGGGAACCGAACCCGGGTCTCTCCGGACCGCAGGCCGACGCTCTAACCACTGAGCCAAACTGGCCAGGGCTTTATATACTCTTATTTAACTTTCTTTTTTAAATGTAAGTTGATTTAGTAAAATTGGGGAATGAATCTACCCAGGATGGTTCATGGAAAGATTATACATCGTGAAGGGCGAAGGCCATGCAGCAAGGTCAGGACGCTCGGAGGGGCTGGCCGGCCTCTTCTCTAGGGGCCTCACAGCCCCGGGCACGGTTTGGAGGGTTAGGAGCCCAATCAAAGCTTTGGGGGAGCTGGGGGGGGGTCTTCCTTTGCCAGGGTCCTGGGAGCCTGGCTCAAAATGCCTGCTTAGTTCCACTTTCGTTACTTAGTTAACTGACGCCTGCACACTGCACGCTGCTCTGAGATCTCCTTCCGCCTCTCGCTTTCGTGCCCTCACCATTTACCCCGCTGGGTCCCTGAGCCCGGAAGCCAGAGCATGAGCTGGCTAAGCAGGTTGCCCCTCTGGGTTGCACCAGTTTAGGAAGCGGGAGAGGGAACACCCTGCCCAGGGGCTGAGCCCTGCCGAGCACTGGGGTGCTCCCCTCGCCAGCACTGAGGCCGCCCTTTCGTCCCGGGGTGTGGACTGCTGCTCCTCTCTCTGGAAGAGTCTGGGCAAGAGCAGTTGGCCAAACAAGAACAGAGGGCAGTGTCCAGAGAGCGGGGAAAGTCCCTTGTCCCCAAAGCAAACTTTGGAAAGTAGTCACTTAAGTGGAGTTTCCTGACGTTGTGTAAACAGTGTTCGCTAAAATGTGTCTTCCTGGCCCCACTGGGAATGACCTCTGCAGAATGACCTCTGCAGAAATAGGGGAGCGGGAGTCCTGCCAGGTGCCTGGCCCACCACCCGGTGTCTTGCCCAGACTCACCATGTCTTTGACCAGCAAGTGTCCAGAGGCGAAGGCAATTGAATTGGGGGGCGTCGAGACCGGGAGCATGAAGGCGTAGGAGCAGCCCACCGTGGCAGGGATCATCAGATACAGGGGGTGCACTTTCAGGCGGATGGCCTGGGCCAGGAGGGGGTGGCGAGACCAACACATAAACAGAGAGAAACCACAGGAGAAACCACGAGAGGTAAAGACAGTTGGAAGAAAAGTGACATGGAGACAGAAAGCAAGACGTGGAGGGAGATGCAGAGTGAGAAGGAGCAATAGAAACAAAGGAGAAGACAGATTTAGGGACAATGACAAACACAGCCAGAAATGAGAATACATAGAAATAAACCGATGAGGCGAGAACCAGACCAAGGGAGAGATGGAGAGAACATCCTCAAGATTAGTGACATTCTGTGGCCACACTGCAGGGTCACCAGGGAGAATGGGCTGGGGAGATTTACCCAGGACACTTCTCCAACTCGAGTGTACATGAGAATCACCCGGAGGCTTGTTAAGACTCAGATGGCTGGTCCCCACCTCACCCAGAGTTGCTGATTCAGCAGATCTGGGGTGGCCCCAAGAATCTTCATTTCTAACGAGATCCCAAGTTACCTGCCTGTCTTCTCTCACCCAAACAGTTCAAACAGCTGGACTCTGGGCCCCTTTAGTTGGAGCCTCATTGGACTTTGGGGATAAGGAGAACTCAAGAAGGCACCTGCCAGCAAACACTTCCAAATCTCTAAGACTGTGGGCATCAGTGTGTCTGTGGATTGGCCTCAGCCAGTGGGCCACTGGTTTGTCATATTCACCTACATCTCAGGTTGAATGCTGCTCCAGCATTTTTCTTTAAGATAGGCCATTTGGGGCCCTGCTAGGGAACTTTTGCAACTCAAAGCATGTACATTTCATCAAAATGCACCAAAATCATCTCCTTGTGTGTAAAACATTTTGATTTTTTTTTTCCTCATTCAACTTTGTTTTAATGGGCCTCAAAATTCTGTGACAGATTTTTTGGTCAAGTTGTTTCCATTAAAAAGTACTTATTTTAAAAACGAATAACTTAAAAACTGCCACGCACAAAAACCAAATGGTCCACAAAACATTCTCCTTTCCTTCTGAAGGTTCTGCGGTGCACTGTGGTCATGGACCCGTCTGTTACTGTTAAACTGAAATGGCCGATTGAGACAAACAGTGCTGAGACCGTCCTTCCGCCGATTCACCGGGGAGGCAGGGACTGGGGACAATAGTCACTCAGCCTTTTGGGCTTTCTGGGCAGACTTGGTGGCTTTGCCAGCTCCAGCTGCCTTCTGGTCCACTGCCTTGATGACACCCACAGCCACTGTCTGTCTCATGTCACGAACAGCAAAGCGACCCAGAGGAGGGTAGTCCGAGCAGCTCTCAACACACGCGGACTTGCCAGGAACCCGCTGGACGACGACAGCATCACCAGATTTCAAATACGTCGGGCCACCTTGCGGCTCCCTCCCAGAACGAAGGTCAGTCTCCTCCTCCAGCTCAGCAGGTCTGCAAGCAGCGTGAGCCGAGGGCCTGTCCAGCACAGGTGGTAGCCAGCACGGGTCTGGCCTGGCTGGTTCAGGACAGCCGCTGCCATTGGCGGGGCATTTTTGCTGTCACCAGCCACATTGCCATGACAAACATCTCTGACAGACGCGTTCTTGACACGGAAGCCCACACCGTCCCCAGGAAGAGCTTCATGCAAAGCTGCGTGGTGCATTTCAACAGACTCGACTTCAGTGGTGACATTGACTGGAGCAAAGTGACCACCCTGCCGGGCCTGAGAACACCGGTCTCCACTGCCCCACGGGGACAGCACCAATGCCACTAATTCTGTAGACATCCTAGAGGGGCAGACGCAGGGGCTTGTCAGTTGGATGAGCTGGTGGCAGGATGCAAACCAGAGCTCCCAGTGGTGTGGCTCCTCTGGCATGGGCATCTTTACGGGTGACTTTCCATCCCTGGCACCAAGGCATGTGGGCACTGGGCTCCAGCATACTGTCACCATTTCAACCAGAAATTAGCACAAATGTTACTGTGTTGGGGTTGTGCCAATTTTCTTAATGTAGGTGCTGACTTCTTTAACGACTTCCTCGTCTCTCTCTGGCTGCAGGGAGGCTCAGTGGAATCCATTCTGTTAACACCAACAGTCAGCTGTTTCACACCCTGTGTGTCGGCCAGAAAGGCACACTCAGGGTCTGCCCTGACGCCTGCTTCCAATCCACCAACACCAGCACCCACTGTCGGGACGGCATAGTCAGCCCGAGACGAGCCCGTGGATGAAATCTCGGTATCCTGGGGCATCGATGATGGTCACATAATCCTTGCTGATCTCGAATCTCCACAGGGAGATGTCAGTGGTGATACCTCACTCATGTTCGGTTTTCAGGGTATCCAAGACCCCGGCGTACTTGAAGGAGCCCTTCCCTGCTCAGCAGCCTCCTTCTCAAAGTTCTCGATGGTTCTTTTGTTGATCCCACCGCATTTGTAGACCAGATGGCTTTCTGGAATCGATGTGTCCAGTGATGATGATGTTGCTATGAGTCTTTTCTTTTCCCATTTTGGGTTTGATTGAGTGGTGGTGTTCACAACACCTGATTCTGGCGGCAAACCCGTCGGGGGGGGGGGGGGAGTTAAAATGTTCTGATTTTGAGGACAAGCAGCATTTAGAAGAATGCATCAGTTGCTAGTGTCTTCTCCAAGAAAAGGCTCCCTCCTCCATCCCGCCCGCAGCCCCTCCATCTCTCTCCATGGCCAGGTCCCTCAGATCCTGGGAAGGGTGTGATGAAATACCATCACACTTAGCAAGGGAGGGGTGAGCGTGTAGAATGACACATTCACTTTGAGGGCAATTTACCCATATCGAGCAAAATGGTAAGTGTCCAGGCTCTTTAAGCCAGGGATCTCAATTCTACCAGTATAGCTAGAGGTCATCAACGGTGCACCGATGGGGAAAGTTGGAGGCAGCCTTGCTGGATAGTAGCAAAGGCTGGAAACTGATGGCTTAAACAAATCGGCAATTACCGTTTCATAATGGAATACAGTGTATCTCTGTGCGTGTGATCTCAGTTCTAGCTGATGCCCCAGTAAGCAAACAAAGACAGTGGTGCAGACAGGTGCCTGGTATATCGTCTCTGCATACAAAGTATCTCCTGGCAACATTGACTTAATTCCATGGATTTGGGGTTGTATTGAGGTAATAAGATGGTTTGGTCTTCTTTAATCTCGTCACATGTAAAACTCCTGTTAACCTGTTTTGAAATTTTTTCTGTAAACTCTTCTTGATTGTGATATGTTGTTCTTTGCATATGAGCCTGGATTCATTTCGCTACTTGCATCTTTGCATCTTTATTTACGTGCAGTTGAGTTATGATGTTTTCCCCCCTTTGCTCCCTCCTGTGCTCTTGGTGCCGGGGTTTTGCTAACTGTATACCTGGATCGAATGGCTTTCTCTACCTGCCTGTGCTCTGGAACACTTGGGGGAGGTTGAGGACTATCTGTTCCCTGAAGGTTCTAGCTCTCACCTAGCCAACTCTCCAGGGCTGGTGAATTTTTATTTTTTATTTATTTTTTTATTGATTGATTTTAAGAGAGAGGATGGGAGAAGGGGAGAGAGATAGAAACATCAATGAGAGAGAACATTGATTGGCTGCCTCCTGCATGCCCCCCACTGGGGATCAGGCCCACAACCTGGGCATGTGCCCTGACCGGGAATTGAACCGGCCATCTCTAGGTGCATGGGTCAACGCTCAACCACTGAGCCACACTGGCTGGTCAGGGCTGGTGAATTTTAAAGCAGTCGTTCTCAACTGGGGATGATTTTTGTCTCTCCAGACAACAGTTGGCAATGTCTGAACACATTTTTGATAGTCATGATTTAGAGAGGGTGCTGTTGGTATCTAGAGGGTAGAGGCCAGGGGTGCTGCTAAACGCCCTACTGTGCACAGGACAGTCCCCACCGCTGACCTGAAATGTCAATAATGCCAAGAAGCCCAGATTTACAGGGAAGCTAGAGCTTTGCTATCGTCAGAATTTCTCCTGTGGTTATTTGACTACTCAGGTCTTCTACTTCTGCTTAATCCAAATTTGGTAATTTATATTTTCCTAGAAAACTTTCCAAGGAAGGAATTTAGTCACTTTGCAAACATTTACTCTGCTTATGCATTGCTTGAAGGAAAAATGAGCAGCCTGGATTGTTTAAGCCGGGTTCTGACGCTTGCACGCGTGTTGGAGGAGAGCAGTGGCCAGTGGCGATCCCACTAGCAGGAGAGACATTTCTGACCTGTGTGGTGGGGGACAGGAGCCCTCCCCCTTCCCAGAAGGCCCCTCACCAGCTCTGACAGGACAGGCAGGAAGATGACGATAGTGGCCGTGTTGCTGGCAAACTCCGTGAAGAAGATGATGACTGCGGTGATGATGAAGCTGGCCAGCATGGGCGGCATGCCCTCCAAGGGGTGCAGCTGATCACTGATCCACAGAGACAGCCCCGACTGCTGCAGGGGGAGGAGGAAGCAGCATCTTCACACCCTGGCCCAACCCAGCTGCTGCAGAGGGAGGGGGAGGGGCATCTTCACACCCCTGACTACCCCAGCTGCCACCCCTGAGGGCTGGGCCCAGGGTGGAGGATATCACTGATGACAGTGATATCCCTTCATAGACGGGGAGTCTGAGGTTCAGAGGGGGGTAAATGACATGTCCAAGGTCACACATTCAAGTCTGGACTTGCATCTACTACTCTCCTTCTCGAACTCTTCCCTCTTCCGTATGTTATAGGCCTGGGGCTCAAAGCCCTGGACCCTCAAATAATCCATTTGATTCTCCACATAATCCATTTGGGTCTAGCACCCCTAAGCTCTAACTTGAATGGGAGAGGGGAAGTGGATCCTCCATGATAAATCTCATTCCTCCAATGACAGTTATTAATTAAAAGGATATTAACACAATTATTGTACAAAACATGCATCTTATAATTATTATACATTAATATGTATCAAATGAATACTATATAAAAGATATACTATATCATATGTAATATAAAGCATGTATCAGGTATATATTAAATATGACACTATCAATATGATTATAAATAACAAATATATGTATGATTAATAAGGATGTTTATTACAATGATAACACAAATATTAACATTACTAACATTCTATTATTATTAATTATCCTAACAATCACCATTACTGTGGCTCCACCTGTGCCAGACACTGGCATGCATTACCTCCCTGAGTCCCCCAACCGCCCCATGAGGTCATTCGTCCCTGTGTGACAGAGGAGCAACCTGAGCCAGGTAAAGTTTTTATGATTCCCACGGTCCCCAAAAGTAATGAGAGATGCATTTCCCACTTAGGGCCATGTGCTTCTGCAAGCTCACGTACTCCTGCAAAACTCCCTGTCACCTGGGCACCCTCCTCTGGACACACCAGTCTGTCACTGCCCCTCTTAATGAAGAGCAATGCCCAGAGCTGACCAGAGTCCAGCAGGACAAAGGACCCTCCCTGGCTCCAGACTTCACCCTGATAACAATGCTGCAGAATGATCTCCATCTCTCCACTGACTTCTCCGAGAGCTACTCTATTTACAAGTGTATGATATATATACTCTTCCCCAGCTGCTCCCTCCTGCAGTCAAATGTATCCTTAATTACCAGAAGTCAACACACCTTCTTTAGGACCCCAAAGCAGCAAAGCGGAAAATGTAAAGTTGTGCTCTATTCTGCCCCCTGGTGGGGCTATGCAGCAATATCTCCCCAAACCCACAAGGTCTTGTCTTTGTTGTTGTTTAACAAAGATAGGCTTAAACGGTGACGGAAGGCAGAGATGGGTTAGTCCCCTAACATTTAGAATCAGGTGTATGTCTACCACAGCTTTTTCATCAACTCAGTATCATCTGGTACCAAGATACTTTGGCTTATCAAAGAAACTATACATTTTCTTTTACGTTTAATAGAAAATTTACTGCTTATCCAGAACTTAAAATTTCATAATGGGTTCTGGAACACGTATCTCTCCAATCTGACTCTAAAGAGACTTTGTGAAACTTAGGTGTTTCTTTTATATCTGCACTGTGTGTCTGGTAGCCTAGAAATACGGCACGTGGCAGAGTCAAAGCCCCAGCTTCTCCCCTGGCCCAGGGAACCCTTCGAGGAGACAGGGGGCCACTGCTTTTTCCCGGAGGCCACAGCTTTGGCAAAGAGGCTGACGGCAGTGTGTGCAGTCAGAGGGAGAGGCTGGACAGGGAATGTTAATGACCTGGATGAATGAGAAGAACTTCCCCATAGCCAGACCTCTGGGTGACGGGCTTCCGGCCAACGTCCCACAGCTACTCATACCCCTGGCTCGGCTTCCATACCCACGACAAGGTTTGGCAGCTTCATGAGAGAGGAGAACCCCCAACTGCCCGGGGTTCTCTTGGGAACCCTAAAGGGCTTCACCGGCCCACTCCCATTCCCTTCAGAATCAGAACCTCTGTTTCCTTGGAACCACATAGCCCCACAGTGTTCCAGGGACTCTGGGGTCAGCAATAGGCAAGGTCAGAGGCTGTATGACCAGAGAATGAGGAGAAAGGGCTCTGGAGTCAAGGCTAAGTCATGTTCTCCATCTTAATCCTATCTGACTGCGTCATCCTGGTCAAGTAACTTAACCTCTCTGTGCCTCAATTTCCTTATCTGTAAAGGGGGCTATAATAGGACCTGGCCCCGACGGTTATCATCAGGAGAAAAGGAGCTAGTCTATAAAGCACTTAGTAAAGTGCTTGGGCACCTGGTACATGTCAGCTGTCATCAGTAGCACTGAGCCAGGAGATGCCAGTGGTGGCATCAGAAACCTCCCCGTGCAGTGGCTGTCAAAGTGTGTTCTTTATGACCCTCGGATGCCAAGAGGTGCCTGAGGTCACGAGGTGCCTGAGGTCACGAGAGGGAGTCCGAGCTGGCAGGACGATGCTCCCCTCCTCTTCCTCCTTTCCCACTTCCGGGTCCTCCTCTAGGTCACTTTGATAACAGTAGGGTCGTACTTTACAAAGAGCGTGTTATGGCATAAGTGTTTAAGTTTGAAATCTCAATAGAAAACACCCTTGAAATTTCTTACAAGACTCATTAAACATAGCAGGCTCAGCTGTGCGTGTACAACTTTGTGTAATAATTCTTAGGAAGGGAGCAGTGACTTTGATTAAAAGAAAGAAAAAAGAGAAGGCTGCATACATGAGGTGAACATTCAAACCACGGTACTGCTTACAAGCTGTGTGATCTTGGGCACATTAGTGAACATCTCTGATCCTTGATTTCTTCAAGGGGTTATGGTAAGGATTAAATGAGTGCTAGTCAAAACAGTTCCTGTATGTAGTAAGCACTGAATATGATTTATTATTATTTATTTAATTTAACAACACAGTGTTTGTTCTGTGCTGGATTCACTTACAGTGTTTTGCTAATATTAACTCATTTAATCTTCATGACAACCCCATGAGGTAAGGAGGAGAATTCTCCCGGTTTTATGGTTACAGAAACTGGGGCACCAAGGTGTGATTTGCCCAATTAAGTGAGGTGTCTTACCCTAGGACTGGATTTTGAGCTCGAATTCTGGCTCTTAATAATTTCATTAGGCTACTTCTCCAATTAAAATAATAACAACAGCCCTGGACGGTTTGGCCCAGCTATTAGAGCATTGGCCCGCGGACCAAAAAGTCTCGGGTTCAATTCCCGTCAAGGGCACGTACCTCAGTTACAAGTCCTGGCTGGGGTCATGTGGGAGGCAACCAATCGATGTGTCTCTTTCACAATGATACCCCCCCCACACACACACACATTCTATCTGAAGATAAATGGATTTAGCAATAAAATAGCAACAACAACAATAAATCTCATCTCCAGCAGGAAATGAGGGGTTGGAGGAAGACACGTGTCTCTCCGTACCAGCAGGGTTTGTTCCGCTCTGATTTAACACTGAGCTTCAACACCTCAGTAGATTTGCAGACAAGTGTGTTGTGGTGGAGACCAAATGAGCTATAAATGAAGGTCCCAGAACAAGGCCAGCTCTTATGCATAAGATAGGAAAATTACAAAAACAATGAACGTCCTGAGGTCGATAGCGGCCCCCCATTTTAGCCCCTGGCATGCATCAGCCCTCCCCTGAGCACTTTCCATACATCCATCACGTCATCGATCCTTAGAGCACCATCCTGTAGGTGGTGTCCAGGTGCTATTCATTCAGTGAGCATGGGACACGGCGGATAAGACAGCTGTGGCTCTTGCCCTCACAGAGCTTGCATTCTCGTAAGAGAGACCGACCTCAGCAAACAGACCACGCCCAGGGTCAAGCAGGGTGATGAGAGGAGGGTGACTGTGCAGGTGGGAGGCTACTCTAGACACGGTGGTGTCCTTTCACTGCTGCTGACCTTGGAGCTGGGACCTGAAGGGTGAGGACCCAGAGACCTCAGGGAAGAGCATTCGGCAGAGAGAACGCAATTCAAAGGTCCTGGGGTACAGACGAATCTAGTGTGGCTGAGGAATGCTGAGGGGCCAGTGGGACCGAGTGGAGCCGCCGAGAGGAGAGAGATGGGAGCCGATGGGTTTGTGTGTGGCTGGTGGAAGCCTTCAGACTAGAGTCTAAATATGGGAGGCACCACGGGCAGCCGAAAACTGATGAGAACACTAAGTGGGTGTAAGTGAGTTGCCCAAGCTCAGAGTAGCCCTGGGATCTGATTCCAGCTCCTCGGAACCAGCACGTGGGGGTCATACATCCAGACTCACCCTGGGTCCCATGCAAGGACCTCTAAGCTGCAGGAGGCCACTGTGGCCTGGCAAGGGCCTGGGCTGGGGCTAGGAAGTAGGGTGTGCCCTGAGCAGTCTGGGCCCCCAGGGCAGGCTGTGCTGCCTGGGGACAGAATGGTACTAGCAAGGGCTAGGCGGAGGGGTGGCTGCCACATAAAGTCCTCATGGAGCAGAAATCCGAGCCTGCTGCTCAGGGCTGGCCCAGGAGCCAGACTGGCCTCCCAGCATGCTCAGCGGTCCTGCAGCCCAGTCCCCACTGAGAGACCGGCTTTGCCCACCACACTCTGAGCTCGGAGAAGACTCTGGGGTGTGGGGTCACCCCTCCACCTCCTTCCTCTGGGTTAGACTAGGTACATCTCAGTAAACAGCACCATTTCCACAGTGTTGCTCAGGGCAAGAACCTCGATGTCATCCTTGATCCTGAATTCCCCTTTCCCCCAACATCGTCATAACAACCAGCTAAGGCAGCCACGTTCTAAATTCTCCACACATATCGACTCAGTAACTGTAACAACTCTATGAGAAGGGACCCATTAGTATTCCTATTTTGCAGACGAGGAAACAGAGACACCCAGCTACGAGGGAGAAGACACGTGACTGTTCCCGGATGGCCTGGGTAACAGGTCACTTCCTCGGGGAACCCTTCCTTAACGCCTCTCTAGTCGGAGGCAGTAGTGCAAAGAATCAGGCAGACACCGGTTCAAATCCCAGCTCGGCTACCTAGGAGCTGTGTTACCTAGAGTCTGTCTCTTAACCTCTCTGGTTTTGGGGATTCCTGAAATGGCGACAAAAACAGTACTTTTGCTGTTCCTCTATCCTTTGGCTCTTTTTGAAATCTGTACCATTGAACTGTGCTATTTACTGAAGAGGAAAAAAAAAGAATCAACTAAAAATACAGTTCACAAAACGCGTGGCTGTTCAGAGAAGCACCCAGACCCCCTTCCACGAAGGCCTGTTGCCCCAGCACAGGGAGTGTGGGGTGCAGAAAGCCTTTGCTGCCAGCCCGACCCAAGGCCTGCCTTGCTTGAGGTCACACCTGCTCCTGGGGAGGCTCGTGTCCCCAGGCGATGGAGGGGTGCTGGGGTGGAAAGGCCTGGCCATCTCGGACCAGCGGGGAGGTCTCTGAGTGGCCGTCTCAGCTCGGTGCTCTCGGGGTTGGTGGAGGCTTTGGGGTTCTGCCTCACAGACCTGTCTCCCCCCCTGCCGCAGGAGGTGACCTCAAGGTCACCAAACGACCTGATAACCCCCCTGCTCACTTCTCCAGCTCGGAGTCTGCTTCCTGGGAGCCAAACCTGCCCTACCTGAGGTCTGAGAGGCGCAGGGACCTGAGCACTTCCCGTTCCCTATGGATGGCACCAGCATTATCTTCTTTAATCACTTCGCGACCCAGAGCTTCGAGCCAACACATAGATGAGAAAACTCGTGCCCAGAGAGGCTAAGGAACTCGTCCAAGTGCCCCCCCCCCGCGAGGGGTGCAGAGCTCACATTTGAATCCAGCTCAGATCCCCGAGCCCGGGCTTCTGACTAGTGTAAACCTGAACAGGTGTTTTACACTGTAATGTTATTTGAACTTGAAATTTTAAATTGAATTTAAAAAGAGAATACTCTCAGAGGTAGTTCCAGGGTTTTTTCCCCCCCTCATTTCAGGTTCGCCTTTAACTGGCTGCGGTTTTGAACGCATTGGCGTGCATGAAGCAATTCAGGGGTGAGCGGGGCCCCGCTTCGTCAGCTATGGGCGCCCATCCTGGCTCTGCCATCTCCTATCTGCACAAACGCAGATTTCGCTTCCACTTGCCTGTTTCCTCATCTTTGAACTGGGGCAGCCACAGCATTTACTTCGGGCGTGTTCGTGAAGATCGATAAAGTCGGTATTTGCAAAGTGCTCGGACCCGTGCTGGCGCTTGGGAAGTCTCGAGACCGAGCCCCGAGGAGCCTGGACTCTGAAATCACATCGACAGGAGTGCGAACCCCAGCTGCTAAGCAGAGTGTGACTTTATGATCCCAAGAGGGCTGCTTAATTTTCCCATGCCTCTGTTTTCCTACCTGTAAAAGGGGGGTGAGAAATCTCCCGTCGCCCCTCGGGTCCTGTGAGGGTTCGGTGAGATAATACATTATGATACACAGTGGGCACCGAGGCCGACGACCCCCAGAGCGAGCGCCTCCTGAAATCCTCGCCCTGGGTGCCTTGCTGGCCTCACTCTAGTCCCGGCCCTGCCTCTGAGCTCACAGAACCTTCTAGAATAACATGAATAATTAATCAACGACTATTAAAAATATCTAACATTCATATCATAGTAGCTAAGAGCATACACTCTAGAGCCAAACTACCTGGATTCTAATCCAGAGTACATAGCTGTGTGACCTTGGGCAAGTTACTTTACCTCTCTGTGCCTCCATGGTCTAACCTGTAGAGTGGGGATGGCAGGTACTGCCTAGGCTCGTTGGGAGGTTTAAATCAGTTACTATGTGTCGATACACAGGGCGAGCACAGCACCCGGCACACAGCCCTGGAGTGGTGATGCCGTTAGTAGCAGTAATGGTGTCATGTTCATGGGAGCCCCAGATGACGCCTGAGTCCTGTCTCTCTGCAGTAAGATGGGAACTATGATGACCCCAGCTGGCAAATGAACTGGTGTCTGCAGGGACCACAGTGTCACTGGCTCTTAGGCTGAGCCTGCAGCTGGGGGGACCTGCCCACACCGCCCCGGCTGCAGCCCACCCGCCGTTCTTACCTCACAGCCTTTGGCCATGGCGAAGCCCCCTCCCAGGAGAAGGATGATGTTCCAGGGGATGGTGTGCTGGGCTTTCCTCCACGTCAGCAGGGGCTCTGTCTCGGTGTTGGGAGCTGGGTAGAGAGAAGACATTCATTCTGAGGAGCGGACGCTGGTCCCCGCAGCCCTATCTTTGTGGGGCCCTTCGGGGTTCTCCGGGAAGCCACCATCTGGCTCCAGCATAGGATTTTGGAGCTTTGGGGGGAAACACCCGCAGCAGCAGCATGGGGCGTCTGCTCTGTTCAGAATGAAATAGTTCTCGAGGCTCCTCCCAGCTGGGGAATCTCCTGGCACCAGGCTTCCACTCAGGACACCCCTTAAGTCTCCCAGGGTCGAGTGCCCAGTGTTATTTCCCCCCTCACCCAGGACAAAAGGCTGTCTTTGTACCTGGATGTGTACAGAGAGGAAAGACAGAGGAAGGATATTCAGCAGAACAAAAGCGACGGGAATCTTTGGCCCATGGAACTATGGGATGATTTGTGTGTTCTCAAAAGCGGGGGTGGGTGCAGTGGTTAGAACAGGGGTCAGCACACTGCTGTGAAGGGTTAGGGAGTTTCTGCAGCTTCTGTCGCTGCTGTGGTGGCCCGCGGCAGCTGTGGACAAAACGTGCACGGACGGGCATCCCACAAAATCCTACTTTCCACGGGGTCTTGGCACTTACTATCACCCTCTGTTGCTATTTTCTTGTAATACAGAAACTGTTCTCTTTTCAAAACCGTGAAAGGCATGACGAACGGGGGGTGGGGAGGCACGTTTCCTGAAACGCTGTTCTGCACCCAGTTGGCTGCCTGCACAAAGGTCACCTCCCCGTGGGCATTTGAGTTTGCAGTCCCCGTTCTGTAGAATTAGTAACGCCAGAGGCGAGGGGTGTCTAGGGGGCCTGCTCACTTTGAAGTGGGAAGGCAAGGCCCAGAGAATATAGGAACTCACTGGAGGTCTCCCAGCAAATCGGTAACAGCTGGGATACCAGACACCTAGGTCATGGTGCCCCTCCCACAGCCCCAGCCGAGGGGACGCTCTGGGTCTTATAAGCCCACTCCCAGGTGGCAGAACATGGATGGGACCTGATCAGGAGCAGCCGGTCCACAGGCTGCTCAGGAATCTATGAGGCTACAAGGTAGCCGGTGGGGGAAGATTTGCCCAAACAGGAATAAGAAGCACTGCCTTGGCCGGGTGGCTCAGCTGCTTGGAGCGTTGTCCCATACACCAAAAGGTTGCAGGTTCTGCCCTGGCTGGTGTGGCTCAGCAGTTAGAGCATCAGCCCTCGGACCAATGAGTCGTGGGTTCAATTCCAGTCAAGGGCACGTACCTCAGTTGCGATTCGTCCCCGGCCCTGGTTGGGGTTGTGCGGGAGGCAACCAGTCGATGTGTCCCTCAAACATTAATGTTTCCCTCTTTCTCTCCCTCTCTTTCCCTCCCTCCCATTCTATCTGAAGATATGTGGAAAAATCCTCGGGTGAGGATTAAACAAACAAACAAAAAAACCCAAAAGGTTGCAGGTTCAATTCTTGGTCAGGGCATGTGTGGGAAGCAACCGATCAATGTTTTTCTCACACTGATGTTTCTCTCTCTCTCTCTAAACATATCTTCAGGTGAAGATTAAAAAAAGAAGACGAAGAAATACGAACTCATGTTATTACAACATGTCTCAATCCTTAAAAACATCACGTTAATTGAAAGAAACCAGTCGCAAAGAATCACATATGTAATTATGGTTACATTTACATAAAATATCTAGAATAGGTAAATCCATAAAGAAAGTAGACTGGTGGTTGTCTAGGGCTTGGGGGGGAGGGGCATGAATGAACCCGGGCTTCTCCATGGGGTGATGAAAATGTTCTAAAATCAATTGTGTTGACGACTGTACAACTCTGTGAATATACTGAAAACCATTGAATTGTACACTTTAAATGGGCGATTTGTGCAGTAAATAAATTATATCTCAATATAGCTGTTAAAAGAAAAAGAAGAAGCCAGACCGACCAGATCGTTATTCTCAGAAGCAGCAATGGGAAGTAGAGACACAACTGGGCAGAGGAAGTGATAATTAAAGGCGAAAACCTGGGCAGAGGCCACATGACACAGGAGGGGCATTAGGACTGAGGTTCTGTGGGGACACGGAGGAAGTAGATCCTACCAGGAAGTGGAAACGGAGGAAGCAGAAGTTATGAGAAAGCGGAAATTCTGAGGCAGTAGACACCAGGAGGACTCCGCGGGAGAAGTACGCACTGTAAGACTCGTAGGGACCAGAACGGAGGGGACAGGAAACAGCAGAAGCCGGGGAGCAGAACCTACAAGCAACTGATCACCAGCAGGGAGAAGACACTAGAAGGAAACAGAAGTTATAAAAAGGCAAGAACTACAACGAAGCAGAAGCTATAAAGACACAAAAGCTAAGACGCAGTAGAAACAAAGAAGAGACCAAGAAATGATCTGGGGAGCCAACAGTGAGGAAGAAAGAAAGCCGTTTGGAAGCAAGACAGAGTAGAGATGGAGGCAACAAGGGAACCCTGTTTGGTTTTGTAGAGGCCACAGTGCACAGCGTAAGCTCCTTGGACCCAGCGCCAGCCTCCTCGAGGGCCAGCCCTGCTCCAGTAACTGTTGGTGGGACCCTGTGACCCTGTGAAACCCTCTCCCTCCTGATCCTTACGCTGAGCTCCTCACACTCCAACCCCATCCTCCAGAATTGGAACTGTCCTTTGTAATACTCCATTTTTTCCAACAATAGAGAATAGTTAGATGATGACCCCTATTCCCTGACTCCTCGTCCTGAGCTCATCTCCCACCCCAGGCCGAGATGGGCCAGGCACAGCCTCTGGGACAGGTGGCAGGTGTTGGCACCTTCTCCTGGCAGACACCTGCTGGAAATCCAGCGAGGTCACAAAGTGGAGCTCCGAAGGCCAAGGCAGCCTACAGCCGGTTTGGTTGGAGGGCTCAGTGGTTCTTTTCGGCTGAATTTGAACGCTTCTTGGCTGTTTGTCTCATTTCCCACCACTTCCTATGCATCTAAACCCAACTCGAAATTTTCATGTCCAGGCCCTCTGGCAACCGAGTTACAAGTTTCAGAGGCAACAAGTTTTCTGTAAAGAACACCTAACCATGTTGCTCAGTGGATTGAGCATCGTCCCATAGACTGGGAGGTCCCAGTTCGATTCCTGGTCAGGGCACATGCCTGGGTTGCCGGTTCGATCCCCAGTAGGGGGCGAGCAGGAGGCAGCTGATCGATGTTTCTCTCTCTCTCTCTCTCTAAGAAATCAATAAAAACATATTTAAAGAACAAGAAAGTAAATATTTGGGGCTTTGTGGGCTAAGAGGCAACATCGAGCTATTGAGTAGGTGCTTATATAACTAAAGAAAATAAAAGTCCACAAATTTCTTATTGATGAAATTAAAAACTTTATTAATGGACACTGACATTTGAACTCCATGTAATGTTCTTGTATCATGGCATACTTTTCTCTTGATTCCTTTCATTCATTTAAAAATGCAAAAGCCATTTTTAGCTCATGAGTGGTGCAAAATTAGACAGCTGGTTGGATTTGGACTATATGCAGTTGCTGACCCCTGCCCTGGAGGGTCACCTCTGGCCGCCCTCGGTGCCCAGACAAGGTAGCCGGTAGGACAGGGAACAGGGAATGGGGAGAAAACAGGGTGGCTCGTGGCTCGTGGCTCGTACAATAGGGTGCTCAGATCCCAGGCCTGGGCCCCACCTCTAGGCCACTGATCACCACGTTCCAGGCCACAGAACTCACTAAGCTCACCAACACCCCAGCCTTGACCACCTTACCTTTAAAGTCAAACCACCACTTGAGAGAGGGCCTTTGGGACGGGAAGAAGAACAAGACGGTGACAACGGCCACGCCCGTGACAGCATCAGAAGTAAACCTACAATGACAGAAAAGGCCCTGAAGCAGGTGACCGTGGGTATCTCAGCAGGCCAACGTTTGGCAGATTTGCAAATGAGGATTTGTGGGAGGGAATTAAGGCCTCTGAGAAGGGGCCTTGTCAGAGGCCTTTGGATTCTGTCCTGCACTGAACTCAGCAGGGACGCCACCACCCATGGATGCAAAGGCTTTTACCCACAGCTCTCTGGGCTTTTAGATACTGAGCCAAACAAATAGTTCTCCTCCCAACTCAAGGACACCAGATAAAGGGACATAACCATGGAGAAAAGAATCTGAGGGTCACAGAATACTGGGGTCTGTGGCATTCCCGTGGATCACCGGGGTTCCTGTAACAGCTCTGTATTTGTCCAGCTTCTGTTTGCATTCCTCCTTGGACAGGCAGCTTACTACATGGACATGGAGCTCATTCACATCAGCAGAGCCCAGATGGAATCAGCCTCATCGCCCCTCGAAACCTAACTGCACCTTTCAGCCCACAGAAGCCGTGGGCTGGCGTCTTCCACTTCAGACAAGGCATCCACGTCTCAGCGAGCAGAGTGTGGTGTGTGGAGGAGATTGGTATCGAACTCAGATTTTTCCAGCTCCAAGTGCAATGAAGCTCAGCGCCAACTCCTAACAAAAGCTTTTTTCGCCCTGGCCGGTTTGGCTCAGCGGTTAGAGCGTCTGCCTGCAGTCTAGAGAGACCCGGGTTCGGTTCCCGCTAAGGGCACGTGCCTCGGTTGCAGTTTGTCCCCGGCCCTGGTTAGTCGTGTGGGTGCCAGCCACTCAGTGTGTCCCTTTCACGTCGATGTTTCTCTCTCTCTCTCTGTTCCTCTCCCTCCCTCCCACTCTATCTGAACAAAAAATAGAAAAATGTCCTCGGGTGAGGATTAAAAAAAAAAAGCTTTTTTAACCCACATATTTGGGAAGAAGAATATTTAAATGGCCAAGAAACTGGAAAAGATGGTCGATATCACTGTATTAGAGAAATATCAATCCAAACACTGATGGAATACCATGCTGTTACCTCTGCAGACAGGCAAACATGAAAAGGGTGATAATACTGAATGAGGGTGCTGGGAAGAACACAGGGGTGGAGGGAGAGAAATGTTTCATCTTCTAGAGGGCAGCCGGCAACATGTTTCAATACTTTACATGAGAATACCCCTCGATCCAGTTATTGTACTCCCAGGAGTCTATCCTCAGGAAATAACTGGACTCTTATACACAGATTACATATAGAGATGCTCATTTGATAAGAGAAAAAAAGTGGAAGATGCTTAGTAAGGGCATGTTTAAATAAATTCCATTTAATTATATATATATGTATACATATACATATATATTATATATAATAAAATACCCTGCATATATTGTATATATATTTTAAATATATACAATAATATCAATCTTTATGTATTGACATAGATATACAACCAAGAAAACTTGTAAATTTTTAAAAATCAACTTTTTATTTGCACTATTGGACACAATCCAAAAGGAATTGATAAATTAAATTAAGATACTCCCATTCTGTAGAATACTATGCAGTGTTTTTTTAAAAAATGAAATAGCAAGTTTTCCGTGATCATATTATTATATTTTCCAATTTTTTGTTATATATCTATGTGTATGTATTAAGGTGTGTGTGTGTGTATGTGTGTGTGCACATGTGTGTACCTGAAACATTACACACCAAACTTTAATTGTGAACATTGTTGGGGAGTGGGACAGAGGGCAGATGAAGGGAAACTAAATTTTACTTTTTCACTTCAGGATTGTTTAAATTTTTTATAATGAGCATACGTAACTTTCAGAAAGTTACGTATGAAACAGAAAAGAAAAAAGATCAGCCCTGGCCGGTTTGGCTCAGCGGTTAGAGCGTCAGCCCGCGGATTAGAGGGTCCCGGGTTCGGTTCCCGCTAAGGGCATGTACTTCAGTTGCAGTTTGTCCCCGGCCCTGGTTGGGTTGTGCGGGTGGCAGCCACTCAATGTGTCCCTTTCCCATCGATGATTCTCTCTCTCTCTCTCTCTCTCTCTCTCCCCCTCTCTCTCCCTCCCGCTCTATCTGAAGATAAATGCAAAAATGTTCTCGAATGAGGATAAAACGAAAAAGAAAAAAGATCATAAACACTATGTTCATTGTAATCACATTTCTGTCAAAAAAACTTTGTGTTTAGGTAGGCTTCTTTTCAGTCAGTTTGCGTGTGTTTTTAAAATTAGTTTTACGGACATATATAACTAACCTGGAATAAAATGCACCCATTTTGAGGATATGGTTAAATGAGTTTTGACTAATGCACAGTCTTATGACCACCAATGCCGTCAAGCTGTAGAACAGTCCGCAGAGAGGCGTTATTTTAAGTCAGAAAGGATGCCCATCAGAACTGGAGACAAAGATTCTAGGTGATTTTTATTTTCTCTGTATTGTCAGAATGCTTATAACCCCCATTTTTTTTTTTATCTGAAATAAAAACCAAATACCTACATTTTTTTGTGTGTGTGTGTGGAGCGGGGGAAATAGTAATAAGAGCCGTTTCTATTGATCCCGTGAAATTGTTTTTTTTTTTTCTTTTTCTTTTTTGGTTTGGTACGTGCCCCTAGCGGGAACCGAACCTGGAACTCTCTGGTCCGCAGGCCGATGCTCCAACTGCTGAGCCAAACCGGCCAGGGCAAATTGTATTGTTTTTTTCTCATAGCAACCCTCACGAGATCAGACTTGTATCGCTCGTTGTATCAAAGGGGAGACCGAGGCTCCGGGGGGATGGGTGAGAGCTGCCGTGTCCGACACGGTGGCCAGCAGCCACGTGTGGTTGGTGGACACTTGGAATGTGGCCAGACCAAGGTGAAATGTGCGGCAGTATAAAATACACACCAGAGTTTGAAGGTTTAGTAAGAAAAAAAGTAAAATCTCTCAAAAATAGTTTACATGGATTACATGTTAAAATAATATACTGGGTTACAAAAAAATGGATTTTTTTCAGTCACTGGGTTACTAAAATTAATGTCATCTGTTTCTTTTGACTTTTTAAAAAAATGTGGCTATTAAAATATTTAATTTACATGTGGCTCACATTTTGTATGGTGCTGATAAAAATCATCATATCTCACTAAATCCACAGGACATATCTCCTATCTAGTCATGTTCCAACCAGAATTGGACATAGTTGCCCATTCATTCCTCCTTAAAACCCTCCCTCTCTTGGCCTTAATTAGTCCGTGGCTCCAGGCTTTCTGCCCACCTCGCTGACTGCTTCTTCTCCATTGTTCTAATGGGCTCACTCTCTACCCAGCTCCTAAATGATGGGTTCTCCAGATTCTACTACACTCTCCCTACACTGTTTCCCTAGCTGAGCCCATCAATTCCTATAGACTTAAATTCCAAAATTATAGGATGACTTCCAGATTTATATCTGCAACCTGACACCTCGGAGCTCCAGGCTTATATATCCAACTGCCCATCTCAATATTTGAAAGACAAAATTAGACTTGATAAGTCTAAACCAAGTTCAAAATCGAATCATTGATAAGGCACCCCCGATTTTTCTAAAGAATGTTCTTCTCCAACTGAGCACCATCTATGCAGGGACTCCTTTCTATCAGGGCCCCAAGTTCAACCTAACCAGTCCCATCATTTCTGACTTTGAAATACACCTTGACTCTCCATCTCCACGGCCACCAGTTTCATTCAAGCCATTAAAGCCTTTGCCTAGACTGGGGTCAGTTAACATCTTCGGTCGAGGGCCACACAATAAACACGTTGGGTTTTGCACGCTGCGTGGTGGTCTCTGTCGCGGCTCAATGTTGACGTCACAGCATGAAAGCAGCCAGACGGTACGTAAAGGGGCAGGTGTGGCTGTGGCCCAACAGAACTCTATTTGTAGACACTGGCCTTTGAATTTCATATACTTTTCATGTGTCACAAAATACGGGGGAGGGAGGCGTCGAAAAGTAGGGTCACAGGTGTTCGTATGGAAAATAATACCATGATTATTAAGTAAGAATACCAGAATGAACTCTGTGTTTTGCGTACTCACAACTGGAAACCTACTTTTGCCCCATCCTATATGGTCTTTTGACTTCCCCTTGCCATTTAAAAATGTAAAAGCCATTCAGAAACAAGGGTGGGCCAGATTTGTTTGGTCCATCAGCCTTCGTTTCCTGACCCCTGTCTTTGATGACAGGGGTCATCTAAATGGTGTCATAGCTCCTAACTGTTCTCTCACCTACATTTTTGCCCCTGCCCTCCATTCTCAAGTAAATATAATTCATGTTTTACCATTTTAATCGTTTGACATGTATTAACTCATTTATCCTCAGAACAATCCAAGGAGAAGTGTGCTATTACAATACCCTTTTTGCAGATGAGGCTACTGAGCCACAGAGAGGCTAAGTACCTTTGAACCCTCCCATAGCTTCCCGTTGCTCTCATTAAAAAAGGCCAAAATGCATCACATGACCAATAAGACCTCCAGGACCTGGACCTCACCTTCCCCTCCAGCCACGTCTCGCCACACTCCCACCTTCCCACCAGGCCTCGGTCACTCTGGGCTTCAGTCAGTTCTTCAAACATCCTAAGTCGGTTCCTACCTCTGGCTCTCAGGAGATACGCCCAACGTGTCTCCAGTTTCTACCTCCACCCTTGCTAACGTTTGGTTCTTCCCAGAACTAGCCCAAGTCAAGGCCCCTGCTCCATTGTTTCATCACTTCAGCCTCTCATTCTTTCATCGCATTCATTACAATAAGTTACTTTGTTGTCCGTGTCCCCAGCACCTGGCATGATGCTTCGCACATACTAGGCTCTCGATAAGGGTTGTTCGGGTGAATGAATGAATGACAGGCTCAGGGCCGCACAATTCGTAAGTGACAGAACTGCCATTGGAGCCCAGTTCCGTCTGATTTCAGAGCCAAAGCTCTTAAGAACCCAAATGTCTTATCATCCCAACCAGAACTCTTTTGAGAGCAAAAAGAGGAGCCATTAATAATTACCAGGGACGAGGGGTTTGAACCTAGGCCGGGTCACCCCAGCCGCACTGCCTCTCCAGCTCCACGTGGCCCATCCCAGAATCTTCCCCGTTGGACTCTGCCCCCGGGTCCCCAGAGGCTCACCCAGGGGTGAAGAGATTGGCCCAGCCAGGGATGAACTTCGGGTCCCGGAAGAAGAGGAGAATGGCGAACATGCAGAAAAGGATGAAGACGGCCTGCTCAGCAAACCTGTAGCATAGACATGCAGGCACAGGGTGACCGCGCGCTCGGGCGGCCGCAGGGGGGGAGGCCTCGCACAGGTGCCCATGGCTGAGGGGCCCAGGCCCTGCCTCTAAGAAACTGAAACAAGCGATTCACCCCCCAGGAAGTCCCCCGAGTGAGGAGAGGGGTGTCCCATGGTGCGAGTGGTTTCTGCCTGGGGCTTCCACACTCACCCGGAACCCTTCCTAAGCATCAAGAACCCCTCCCCCCAAAACTATTTATATCATCTTTACTGGGAATTTCCCAGAGTCCTAAGGAGAATCCAGAGAGAGAAAGAGGGAAACAGTCAGAAAAGCAGAGAGGAAGGAAACGGACAGAGAGGCGGGCAAAGAGGGAGGAACAGTCACACACACAGGTGGACAGATGAACGTCCACACCAAGTGGAACAAACACAGAAAGGGACAGACGTGAAGAGAGGTAGAAAGAATCCTCAAATATTCAGGCAAATATCGACCCAATGTGCCCATTGCATAGATTGGGGAACGGGGCCCAGAGAGGGTTAGTGCCTTGCCCAAGGTTACATAGGAAGTAAGTGGCAGAGTCAGCAAGCCTGCTGAGGCCTAGTTATTTTTACCACATGAAACACGTGCATTAAGCACGGTCCCGGAAACCACCCAAGGCAATACGGAGCGCCCCATGTACCAGAGGGGAAGGACGCGTCCGGCAGGAAGGAGGCGGGTCCCCACCCCATGCACACCCTGAGGAGCTTTGTGGTTCTCAGGGTATCTACTCCAGTCCCAGGGCAAGAGGCTGACTGTGTAAGCCACCTCCCTACCCTCCACCTCCCTACCCTCACATTTCAGGCCATTGGTCCTGATGTCCCCCTGGGTCTCAGCCCCTAGGGACCAGGGTCAGGCCAGGAGGTAACTCCCTGTACTCTAACACCCAGCTCTCTCGCCACCCCAAGGACTCCCGGCTGCGCACTTCATGGGCCCCAGATTCTTGTATTCCTCCTGAATCACAGCTCGAGTTCTGTCCTCTGCATCAGCTCTCACGTCCGATTTCTTCTTCCTCCAGCCCCTGAGACGGAAAGTGGAGACGTTAGGAGCGGCCACCGCAAGGATGACCAACTTCTCCCCAGCCCACCACCTCCTGGCCAGGCCTCGTCGTCTGTTCTGGAGACAGTACTGGCCTGCGAGCGGACTCCCTCTGTCTTCCCTTCTAAGATCTGTTCTCCCCACCCACAGCCTGGGTGGTCTTTTAAAAATGTGAATCTGATCATATGACTCCCAGGGGGCCTTTCGGGGATCAAACAGAAACATGAATAAACAGAGTAATCAATGGAATCAAATGGAAAGTCCAGAAATATACCCAAATATAAATGGGGATTTAGTCTTGATAAAGCTGGTATCACAGATTGGTGTGCAAAAGATGGGCTATTCAGTCAATGGTGTTGGACACGTAGATCAATGGCACAGAATCGAGAGTCCAGAAATGAACCCATACATCTGTGGCCAACTGATTGCTGACAAGGATACCAAGACCATTCAATGGGGGCAAGAATCGTCTTTCAACGAATGGTGACAGGACAACTGGACAGCCACACGCGCAAGAGTGAGTGTGAACCCCTAACTCACACCACAAACAGAATTTAACTCCAAATGGATCAAAGACCTAAATGTAAGAGCTAAGCCTATAAAATTCTTAGAAGAAAAACATAGGGGTAAATTTTCATGGCCTGGGACTAGTCAACTGTTTCTTAGATATAACATCAAAAGCTCAGGCAATCAAAGGTAGAAAAATTGGACTTCATCAAAATTAAAAATTTTTGTGTGTCAAATGGTGTTGGGACAACTGGTGGTCATCTGGAACAGGGAATAAAATTGGATTCAAACCTTGGCCAGCACGCTAAGGATAAACTCCAAATAGATTTTTAAAAAAATTTAAATATAAAAAATATTAAAATAGCAGAAGAAAACATGTGATTACTTTTTTTTTTTTTTACAACTCCTTGAATGGGCACGCCCTTTTAATTATAATAGAAAATTCAGAAGCCACATGAGAAAAGGTTGATAAATTCATCTATATAAAATTTTCTCAAAAATTCTACATGGAAGAAAGCACTATAAGCAAAGTAAAAAACAAATAAGAGGAAAGTATTTGCAGCTCATATTGCAGAATAATCACCGATCTTTCACTATATAAAGAGTACTAGAAATCAATAAGACCAACGCCAACAATTCATTTGAAAATGTACAAAAAATATAAACACACAGTTTAACAATTCACAGGAAAGGAAATACCGATGGCCCCATGAATATATAAAAACTGTTCATATTGCCCCTCAGTGTTAAAAGTTGCTAAAAATAATTCTCAATAAAATAAATGCAAATTTCCCTGGCCGGTTTGGCTCAGTGGTTAGAGCGTTGTCCTGTGGTCCAGAGAGACCCGGGTTCGGTTCCCGCTTAGGGCATGTACCTTGGTTGCAGTTTGTCCCCAGCCCTGGTTGGGTTGTGCAGGTGGCAACCACTCGATGTGTCCCTTTCACGTCGATGTTTCTCTCTCTCTCTCCCTCCCACTCTATCTGAACAAAAAAAAATGGAAAAATGTCCTCAGGTGAGGATTAAAAAATAAATAAATTAAAAAAATAAATGCAAATTACTTTTCTCTTATCAGATTTGCAAAAATCCACTTCGCTGTGTGGAAACAGACTTTCTCATTGTGGTAAATGGGAGAACAAATTAGTACAATTTTTATGGAGAACAACCTGATGACACCAATTAAAATAAAAATGTGCATTTATTCGTGTATTTGTATTGATGATGGGTCAATTAACTGAGGGCCTGGGCATAGCAGGCAGGTCACACACCATACTCGTCACACCCCTGGGAAGTGAGGTCTGTGACAGTCACATGTGAGAAGATAACGTGACATCACAAGGACAATCCTCAGTGTACGTAGAAGGATGAACTGGGGAAGGCCCTTCCTGGTGCAAAGGCACCTGGGTAAAGCAAAGCTCAGTCTGGCTCAGGGTTCGAGTTGAACATGACAGGTACCTCAAGGTCATTCCTGCGTACAGGAAGGAGATCCAGAGCCAGCCCATCAACAGGAACAGCAGCATGAGAGGGAAGGCGAAAATGAACCAGGAGCCGAAATTCACCGTGTCGCACTGAGGGAAGAAACTGGAGGGAAGAGGCGGGTGAGAGCCAGCCAAGGTCAGCCAAGGTCAGCCAAGGTCAGCCTTGGGGTGGGGGAGGATTTGCACACGGGAAAACCAGGAGTATGTTAGATATGAACGGTAGGATTTCACATTTTTAATTTGTTTTCTATATTTTCTGAGAGTTCTGTAATGTATCCATTACATGTATAATTCGAATAAACTAATGAAATGCGTTTGGGGAGCAAAGCCCAAGGGGAAGACAAGGCAGCTAGTTCCCTGTCTCCCAGGCTCCTATCTGGAGAGTCAGAACCTCTAAATCTCCTCCTCCCAGACCTGAAGGTCCAAGCCTGTGCAATTAAATGTTGCACGCAATTTACTCCGAGTCCTTCGTGTTTGATGTTTTTACTCACAGCTCCAGCACTTGCCCCCAATCTCTTTTAAAGTTGGGACAAAGTTCTGCTCGTGTCAGGGTGGACAGACAGCCTGAAAAGCCTCTCTGACGGCCACAGCCACCCCACCTGTTACCTCCATCCCCCACCTCAGGACCGAATCTTTCCCGTCCAGCCCCTTCTGATGGGAGGCTACAGGGCCAGCCCAGACTGTCCCCACATCTGAAACAGGACCGTCTTGGCTTCTGGTGTCTCAGTGCTAATGAAAAACCCAAGGCACAGCCAGGTCTTGATCAAAGAATGGAGATGTGCAGACACCGAAAGTCTCCAATGGGCTTAAATCAACCGGGAAAATGCTGATGCCCGGCCCCCTTCCCACGTCTCCCAAATCAGTCTCTGCAACGGAGACCCGGGTGTATTTTTTCACCTGCCCCAGTGACTCTCACAAGCTCTCTTTGGCCGAGAAGCAGCTGTTCCTACCACCAAATCGTAAAATCGAGGAATTTAAGAACCTGAGAATATAGTGGAGGTTTAAGGTTTTCAAATCAGCGTGTGAGGCAAAACAGGGGCGTACTTGAAATTTCTCATAAAATAATTTTCATTACCCACCAATATGGTACCGACGTATGTAGACCAAAGCGGTTCTCAGGAAGACTGACCCTAGCTGTGCCTCCACCCTCCTGACAGGCCCTCAGTTCCTTGGCTGAGGAGCAGGTAAAGAAGTTGGCCAGCATCTGGGCCGTGTCGACTAGCCAAGACTTTTTACTGCCATCTGTTCGCTCAATGATTGTATTTGCATTCGTGTCGATTAAATAACCGTATGCGGCGGCTCCACTGCACAGGAATCTGAAAACCTCTCCGAATCCTAGAATCTGAAAACCTTAAAATGTCGAAATAATACGGGACATTTTAAATCTTTGCACTGAGAGGCTTGGAATGATGGACTGGACAAGCCCTGCTGTCCGAGAACCCTTCGCTGGGTTCTGTTGGAACCCATGCTGGCCTCTGTTGGAACAATCTCAGTGATGGGGAGACTTTACCTCCTGGCGCAATCCACTGCTCCGCTGGCCCATGTGCATGGGTACAAAGCTTCTCACTGGACATGACAGCCACAGACCAACGCCTCCAGGTGGGGTGTTTTTAAAGCAGATGCCGCATCACGTCACTATTCTCGGCTTTCCACTGGCTCCTTATAACAGCTACCTTAGTCTGGCCTCTTCTTACCTCATCTCCTCCCACAACCCCCTTCTCCCCACTGGTCTGTACGCCGTTCACCTTGGCACAGGCTATCCCCTCTGTCTGGAAGGCTCTTCCCTCCTGTGTCCACAGAGCTCATTTCTAGGCCTTTGCTCAAATGTCACTTTATCAGAGAGGCCGTGCATCCGTGACCAACCTATATAAAATAGCACCTACTCCTTTCCCTTCTACCCCTTTATCCTGCTTTATTTTATTCCACAATTCATTACATCAACACATCCCATATTCATTTGCCTTTTCCTTTACTGCTTGTCTCCCCACCAGAATAAAAGTCCCCAGAGCAGATCCTTTGCTGGGTTTTGTGCCTTTCGGGATCCCCGGAGCCTGGCTGATAGAAGGCACTCAAGACACGCATTCCCTGGATGTTAAGTGAAGGAGGGGGAGGAGGAGAAGGAAACTCCAGTGCCAAGTGGGGATACTTGCTTTACCTTTTGAGCCCACCAAGCAGGATGAGGTTAGGGGGCGTGCCCGTGAGGGTGGCAGTGCCCCCGATGCTGGCTGAGTAAGGGATGGAGATGAGGAGGCCCTTCCAGATGTTTTTGCGATATTCTTCTTCCTTCGTGGAGGTGGCCGACAGATCCAGGGGAGCCTCTCCCTCCTCAGGGCAGTCTTTGCTTTAAACAGACCCGAAGAGAAGCCATTCAGAACACACTCCGCAATCCTGGCCTCACAGGGGAACGGCTCGCACACTGAGTTGGGGGAGCTCAGTGGTCTTTCGAGATGGTAATTTGGCATGGGCATCAAAAACCTGAAAACGTGCAGCCCTTCAGCTCAGGTGTTCTAGTCTAAGACTTAATCCCAAAGAAATAATTGGGCAAGCACCTCGGGGGTGCGTACAAGGGTTCACCATGGCGTTAAATATAATTTAAATGGAAAACACCCTAAATCGCCATCCAAAGGGGATTGGCTGAAGGAAGATGATCCCCTTTCTAGATGGAACACTGATGCAACTATTAAAAAATGATAATTTAGATGAATGTATTAAATTGGAAGATATACATTATATAAAGTGAAAAGATAGCTAATAGCACTAGTTTTTTTCTTTTTTTTCATTTTAAAAATATTCACATAGCCCTGGCCAGTGAGGCTAAGTGGTTAGAGCATCGGCCTGCACACCAAAGGGTCTCGGGTTCAATTCCTGGTCAAGGGCACGTACCTGAGTTGCAGGTTCGATCCCATGGTTGCATGTGGGAGGCAACCAATCGATGTGTATCTCTCACATTGATGTTTCTCTCTCTCTCCCCCTCTCCTGCCTCCCTTCTACTCTCTCTAAAAATCAATGAAAAAAATATCCTCAGGTGAAAATTAACAACAAAATTTCACATATTTCATGAATATTTAAGTACTAAGGAAAGTCTAGAATAGTGATAAGCAAAGTTATTTTGGTGCCTCTCTCAGAGGTAGAACTATGGATTTTTTTTTTTTCTCTATTTGTATTTTCTGCATTGTTTCCTTGCAGTTGAGTTTTGGGAGCCCTGGCCGGTTTGGCTCAGCGGTTAGAGCGTCGGCCTGCGGTCCAGAGAGATCCGAGTTCGGTTCCCGCTAAGGGCGTGTGCCTTGGTTGCAGTTTGTCCCTGGCCCCGGTTGGGTCGTGCGGGTGGCAGCCACTCGATGTGTCCCTTTCACATCGATGTTTCTCTCTCTCTCTCCCCCTCCCACTCTATCTGAACAAAATATTGAAAAATGTCCTCGGGTGAGGATAAAAAAAAAGAGTTTGGGAAAGAGTGAAATTACAACTTATTAATTATATAATTAAAAGATAATGATGTTGACGCAAATTTATTGAGGTAAAAAGATGTTCCCTACACTCTATTAAGTGAGATAACAGGTTCCAAAATAACATCTAAAACATTCTCAGTAGTTTTATTTAAGAAAATGTATTTATGTATATAGAAAGATATTAAGAAATAATCTAGAATGGTATACACTTAACTGTTTTCATCTGTCTTTGCGAGTGAGTTGCTGAATATATTTTTTGTCCAAGAGTATTTTTTGGATGTATGCAATTATAAAAATGTTTATAAGTGAATGAAATTGAAAACTGCTCCTGTGCAACAAAACAAAACATTTTAAAGAATAAAAGATCCTTCGAATACCTTCTGGTCTTAATTGCTACATGAGGGGCCCCTTCTCCAGTGGGCGATGGAGACATGATCTGGAGTCTGAAAGAAATACAAGGAAGCAGCTGGAGACCCATGCCATGCATGGTCTGACTTCTCAGTGAGCGGCCTGGTCAGGAACTGTGGCCTCCCTCCAATCTGGGATCCCAACCAGACTGGGCCTCCCAGTGAGAATGAGCGAGCAGAGAGGGCCTAGGGCTCAGCTAGTGCAACTCCTTTGTTTGCCTGGGAAAGAGGCCCAGAGAGGGGGCGGGGCTTGCAGCCAATGGACATGGATCTCTATCCAATAGATGGGGTTTTCATACAATGGACATGGAATTCCAGAGAGTAGCATCAGGTCTTTTCCAATAAACTCAGCATAAACTCTGCATAGGCAGGTAGTTAAAACGGATTCCCAGGTTGTATGATAGCGAGTGGCTGGGCCATCACAGAATGATCATCTCAAAGCTGGGCTCAAAGCTCCCAAATGGTGCTGGGAAGGAGCACAGGCCATAGGATAAGACAATCAGATGTAAGTCGTGTTCCTTCTCTGCTATCTCTCCATCGGCTCCCTTCCCACGCAAAGTCAAGGCTACATCAATCGCCTATGAGGTCCCACATGCTCTGTCCCTCTTCTACTACCTGCTTGCCATACAGGCAGTCTCTCTGACATCACCTCCTACCATCCCCTCATCCAACTCCAACCACACAGGAAGCATGCAGGCTTCCCGTTTGCTTTGTACTCTCAGGAACTTTGCACCTGCTGGTCCCTCTGCTGAGAATACTCTCCAGATCCTCTGTGACCCCTCCCCTCCTACAGGTGTCTGCTCAAGCCTGACCTTCTTAGAGAGGCCTTCCCTGGTCACCTATTTTAAAGCTGCCCTTTGTCCCCCCCAGGCCCCTTCCCTAGCCTCCTTCACTGCTTTGTCCTCCTGCATCAATCATCTGACATATTATGGATTTTACTCATGCATTTGTTCCTTGTCACTGGGACATAAGTCCCACTAGTCTGAAATTTTTGGTCTATTCATCGATGCATCCCCGGTAGTGCCAGGCTCATCCTAAGCTCTCAATAAATATTTGTTGAATGAATGAAACAGACCTGATCATGCCCAGCAATGCTGAGAGCAAATCACTTTACTTCCCACTGTTTCATCACCATTAAATCAAGATAACGATGCCATTAGCAACAAGCGCTATGGTTGCGCATGTCGGGCCTAGCAACCTGCTGTGTCGACATTCCATTTGCTCTCCAAACAACCCTATACGGTGGGTTTCAATATCATTTCCACTTGGTCGGTGAACTTAATTGAGGCTCAGAAAGGTTAAGTGACTTGTCTAAATGACACAGCAGTTAAGTGGCAGAGCCAGGGTTCAAAGTCAGGTCTGTGTGGCTCCGAACCACAAGACATTAACCACATTGTCACATACAAAGTACACCAAAGACTGAACATGCCCTTGTGAAGGGGCTCCCTGAGTCACATGAGTGTGAAGGATTATTATTGCCTCAAAGGACATTTTTGTCTCTACAGCCTCTCGACTTGGTCTGCGCCCCTCTCCTCCTTGACTGTCATGTGGCTTGTGCTCCCCTGCTCTTCTGGGCCCTCCCTGGAGACCCTCCTCTTACCAGAACTTTTGCCCAGACCACTTGTGCATTTTTAAGGGGTCTATGGAGGTCTATGCCTAAGCCAAAGGGTCAGAACATGGGCACTTAGGTCATTTGGAGGAAATTTCAGAGGTGGGAGGGTGGTTGTCTGTAGCACTGAGTTCTCGTTCATCATCTCCTTGGACCAGGCACAGGCTCCTCTGATTTCCACCAGGAACTCACTCTTCTGTGCTGGCAAGAAATTGTATCTCCGTGGGCACAGCATGCAGGCCTTTTGTCCGCACAAGAGCTAGGGAAGAAAGCATCATGTTTTGAGTGTCACGTGAATGGGATGGGAGTGTGCCCATTCTTCTGTGGGCAGCTCAGAGTGCTTCTTCAGGCGCCACTCTATTCATTCAATCAAATAAGTAAATAAAACAAGTCACTCAACAGTGCATCTTCCTGTCCCACCCATCTCTGTTTGGAGATGACCGCGGACCTGTGGGCAGGGGTTAGCTGCAAGACTGCCTGACAGCCCATAACTCGAGCCTAGGCGTACCTGAGCAGCCATTGCCAAAAGGATGTTTGGGAAAGACTAGCTATGGATGGCAATGGATCAGCAATGGAATAAATCTCCCATTTATTCATTCAACAAGTATTTACTGAGCACCTGTTATGTGCTATGGACTATGAGCTTGGGGTAGACAGTGAACATTATGCAGCAAGGTCCCTGTTCCCATGAAGTTTATGTTCTAGAAAGGGAGACAGACAATAAACACAATGAAAGTTTCAGGTGGTGATGGAAGTGATGGAAGACATGTAACTGTGCCATGTGCTGGAAAGGAATCGCAGGGTGGGGAGAGTGAGCAGGTGGCTACCAGTAATCATGTCAACAGAGAGACACTATGAGCTGATGGCATTTGATCCGAGACTTCAAGGATATAAAGGAGCCAGTCACATGAAGAGCCTTGAGAGGAGAGTTCCAGGCAAGAGGAGCAGCGAGTGCAAAGGCCCTGGGGTAAGAAGCATAGCAGAACTGAGGAACCATGAGAAGGCCAGTGTGCTGGGAAAGTAGTGAGGAGGGAAGGCCTAGGGGAGACAGGGAGTGAGAGCGGGGTAAGCAGAAGTCAACAGAAGTCAGAAGTCGACGCAAGGATGGTGAACCCTTGCAGGATTTAGAGCCCAAGCTATATATCATGTGATTGACGTTCTGCAAACATCTCTAGGCCTGGTAGGGGAGAATGGACTGGAGCGGGGCAAAAATCGAAGCTGAGAAAGCAGTTCAGAATCTGTTGCGTTTTCCAGGTAAGATGATGATGACTGCACTGGGCTAGTGGCCACAGAGACGCTGAGAGTGAATAAGTTGTGAGTGTGTTTCAGTTCTCCTTAGACAAGGGTTTGGTGCAACTTGGAGCCCAGCGCCAGAACTCAGCCATGTGAACCCTAACCGATCACTGCATCAACGTCACTGAGTGACAAGACATGAAAACCTATGTCCTGTGGAACTTACCTTCTGGTTAGGGAGACAGGCCATAAACAAATAAGTATAATGTACAGTGTGCCAGATGGAAATGAGTGTCCAGAGAAAAATAAAGCAGGAGAGGGGACTGGTGTTCTGGGATGGAATACCTTTTCTAAAGAATGGCCAAGAAAAGTCTGGCTGAGAAGGTAACACTGAACAGACACCCGAAGAAGGTGAGGGGGTGAGCCATGCAAACCTCTGGGGAAATTAAGAGCAGGTGCACAGACCCTGAGGTGAGAGGTGGCAAGGGGTGGGGTGGCAGGAGGTGGGCGGGATCACACAGGAGTCTTAGGGATTATAGTAAAACTCTGGCTTCTCCTCTGAGTCGCATGGAAGCAGAGGCAGGGGGCTGTTTGAGCGGAGGAGTCAGAACAGGATCTGACTTTATTTGAAAAGTATTCCTTGCTTGATAGATCAATCTCCATAGGAGCCTTTGATAGTGTTTTATAGACAAGGAAAATGGAAGGAATTAAGTTTCTGCAGCTGAAATCATCACCAAGAACAAAAGAACCCATCCCTGGGTATGGGGTTCGTGACTGGTAGCTGAACACATGGGTTCTGGGTTCAAATCATATCTCCACCATTTACTATGTGACCTTAAATCAGTGGCTCCCAACCAGGGCCAATTCTCTCTCCCATGGACATTGGGCAATGTCAGGACACATTTTTGGGTTGTCACAACTGGGGTATGGGGGTTGCTACTGGCATCTAGTGGGTAGAGGCAGAGATGCCGCAAACTATCCTACAATGCACAAGTCAGCCCCCACCCCCCGCAATGAATTATCCCACCCAAACTGTCAATGATCCGAGGTTGAGAAACCCTGGTTTAGATAAATCTCTCAATCTCTCTGTACCTCAATTATTTAATTCATAAAATGGAAGTAATAATTTTCCTAGGGTTGTCAAGAGGGTTAAGGAGTTGACCCATTTGCTATAGATTGAATGTCTGCACCCTCTCCAAAATGCATGTGCTGAAACCCAGTCCCCGATGTGACAATATCAGGTGGTGGAGCTTTGGAAGGTAATTAGATCATAAGGGTGGAACCCTCATGAATGGGTTATAAGAGACCCCCACAGAGCCCTGTTGCCCCCTCAACCATGTCAGGACACAGCGAGAAGACAGCCAACAGCCAACCAGGAAGTGGGATGTCACTAGACACCAAACCTGCTAGATTTCCAGCCCCTATAACTGTGAGAATTAAATACCCAGTCTATGGCATTTTTTGTTCTAGCAACCTAACCATTCTAAGCAGGGACTGGCAAACTTCTGTCAAAGACCAGATAGTCAATACTTCAGGTGTAGGCGGTCCTATGCTCTCTGTTGTTAACTACTCAACTCTGCCAGGATAACATGGAATTAGCCACAGAAAACTCATGAATGATAAGTGGGGCTACCCTTTATTTGGAGGCACTGAAATCTGAATTTCATCTAATTTTCACATGTCACAAAATATTCTTCTTCCTTCGATTTAGTGCAACCATTTAAAGGTATATACTCTATCCTTAATTCACACAAAAAACAGGTGGTGGACTAGAGTTGGTGGGCCAAAGTTTGCCAGACTGTGATTTCAAGAATTTCACTGGAATCTGAGCACTAGTGAGGATTTAGTGAATGTGGGTTACTCTTGAGAAAGAATAACAAAGTGGCCCGGCCAGTGTGGTTTAGGGGTTGAGCATGGACCCATGCACCAAGAGGTCGCTGGTTTGATTCCTAGTCAGGGCACATGCCCAGGTTGTGGGCCAGATCCCCAGTGAGGGGCATGCAGGAGGCTGCCAATCGATGTTCTCTCTTATCAATGTTTCCCTCTCTCTCTCCTTCTCCCTTCCTCTCTCTCTAAAATCAATAAAGGGAAAAAAATTAAAAACAAAACAAGAATATCAAAGTGGCCCCTGACATCTTGAAGCGGTCTGACCCAGATCTGATATGTCACTCTCTTGTTGGACTTAAATAATCTTGCCCATCACTCGCCTCGGACAAAGTCACCCTGATAAAATGCGCCAAAGCAAGGGTGCAAAAGTGGTCTAAGCACAAAGCCACTTGCCTCCCACAAAATACCAAGCATCCTCATTCTTGCTACATGAATGGCTGCTACGTCCTGACCCAGTCATGGAGCTGCCCCTGACTTCCGACCGCACCCAATCTAGAGTAAACCCTGCTTCCTTAGATCCCCCGCCACATGCCCCACCAAAAGCCCACGTCCTGTGAGAGGCGCTGTCTCACACCCTCTTACTGAGATGATCCAGCTGCCCCGGTGGGTGCTCTTCCTCACGGCGGCAACAGAAATAAACTCCACCTGTTCATCTGCAGGTGTGTCTCTGGGATCTTCGGCCATGGGGACTGGGAAGGAGGGTCTAGCCTCCAGCCTCCACTCTTCCTGGTCTCACTCGGGAACTTGGGCATGTGAGTCCCTTCCACTCTCCACTCTGGGCTGCTCCTTTCTTGCGTGTACCAGGAGGGAGCAGGGTTCCTTGCTGGCTGACTTATTTTTACTGTGTCTGAGGCTGGCGATGCTGACCACCAGCCAGGTTCTGAAGGCTAAATGCCGACCAGTTCATCCCGGGCCAAGGGGGCGAGGGCCCAGGGGTTCCCGTGATGGGAATCCATGTCCAAGTGCAATGCACACGGCCAGAGGCCAGGGCACTGAAGCAGGAAGTGAAGCTGTTAATAGCACACTGATGCTAGGAGGCAAAGTCGCCCCCCAGGGGATGGCCAGACAGGAAGAACCCTGAGCCAGTGACCCCCAGCCCCCACCCATCTCTAGCTCGCTGTCCCCTTCCCTCCGAAGCCCTGGAGAAACGGTAGCATTTCCTGGGAGTGCTCAGGTCCCACCCTAGAGGTTCTGGGACCTCAGTTCTTTTGAAATGCTCTGCAGGTGTTTCTTCTGGGACGCCCAGGTTGAGAAGACTCTCGCGAAGTTACAGATGGGGACACCCTCAGAGGGAGCATGTGTTCCCCAGGTGACCTCAGCCCATCACTCATCCATGGACCCCAGTTGCTGCCAGCCTCTGAGCTGGGGAGCCCCGACATAAGACTGTTCGAGCTGTGCACAAGGCCGGTTAAAGGGTGGGGCTCACGCAAGGCCTTACTCGGATGAGATCGGGGCATTCGGGGTAGTATGGCATAGACTGTAGGGTCTTATTCAAATAACACTAATACCTGAGTGTGTATCAGGCTGAGGATGAAAACTTTCCCATCTGTAATCTTACAACACCTCGGAACAGCCTGGGAGAGCTGAGCAGGGGTTATTACCATCCTCTTTACACCTGGGGAAACTGAGGCCTGGAGAGTGGATTAAGGTTGGGATCAAGATGACCCAAAAGGTTAGTAGCAGAGTCAGGCTTGTTCCAGGACTATTGGTTCCACACCCGGCCCCCTTGAATCTCACTCCATCTCCAACGGAACCCAGTTGGCCCTTGGTAGGTCTGACCTGGAACCATTAACCCCAGTCTAGCCTTGGCGCTGGGCACACGGAAGCACCACAGGAGAGTTTTTGCATTAAGTTAGGTCAAGAGAACCCCAGGGAAAGTCAAAGGGCCCCAGTTGGACAGCTTTACATCCATTCACTTGATTAGCACTCACAACAACCTAGACGGTAAGTATAAACATCCCCATTTTATCTATGAGAAAACTGAGGCTTGGAACAGTTAAGTAACTGGTCTATTCATTCCTCAATTCCACGCATTTATTGAACACCTACTATGTGCCAAACAGCATTCTAGGGGAACAAGACCACAGCAATGAAAGGGATTGACCCCCCATGCCGCTTAGAGCCTACAAGGAGACAGGTAATAAACAAATAATCCCTCTCAACCAGGAAACTTCAACTGTGCGTCACAGCGTGAGGTTTAGTACCAGTTCCTGGAAATCTAATCATGGCTTATTTTATTTTATTTATTAACTTATTCTTGTTACAGACATTTCTCCTTTTTCCCCCATGGTCATCATGTTTTTTCTACAACTGCCACATAGTAACTAACCCCTTCCAATGTCCTCTCTCGTTTCTTATGTAAGCGTCACAAGAATATATTTGAAATGGGAGGTATTGTCCTCATTTTACAGGTGAGGAAAGAGGCCCACCCCTGACCTCATGAATGAGGAGCAAATGAGGGGGCAAGGCTTAACCTAGCCTAAAATGTGGCTTTCTGCGTGATGGCCTCCTGGACACTCCTGACCGAAAGACACAGGTGGCAAGCTAGTCTTCTTTGGGCCGTCATGCAGGGGAAAGAACGGTAGAGTTTAGATTCAAAAGTCAGGTGGGCTTTTGAAGGACAAAAGCCTGAAGGACATCGGGCAAATACTTCACCACTCGGAGCGTCAGTCTCTTTCTCTATAAAATGGGCACGATGAGAGGGCCACCCGGCAGGGCTGCAGTGGAGGATCTAATGGGAACATGCAGTTGAAGGACGCTGGAGAAGCCACCCCCCATGGCCCCTCGGTCCCTCAGACAGACAGGAGCAGAGCTGGGTAACGGAACTGAGAAGCGGCAGCAGGCTGCCCAAGGCTGGGGACCTCGGGGGTCCTGCCCGGTGAGCACCACCCTGCCCCAGGTTCCGTCTCGCCGTGGCACGGCGTTCAGAAGCACAGGTTCCAGATTCGGACAGGGCTCGGCCACTAACTCACCATGCTGCTTTGGACACATTATTGCCTCTGAACCTCAGTCTCCGCATCTGTAAAATGGGGATCATCTACCTCATAGTACAAGATTTAATGAGCTAATGGGCATGAAAAACTTAGCACAGTGTCTGGCAGATGGCAGGGCTTCAGAAAATGAAAGTGTGCGTTGTCACTGTTGCTATGGCTGTCCCTCACCCCTGTCCTGGACGCTCCCAGAACCTCCACTCCCTCCACGGCTGTTCTCGCCTCGCCTCACAGAGCACGGCCACTGGGTGAAAGGGAGCATCTCTCTGCACCGCAATTAGCTTTGCTTTAGGTCTTAGGGTTGATCATTAATCACCTCCAGCTGTCCGATCCCACTGCCCACAAAAGCAGGTGTCTGCCCCAACCTCCCAGGGTCTCTCGCCTCCTGACACCCCGCAGCATAAATGAGAAGGAACACTGAATTTCACTTTGTGCCCAACATAGCCTGTGACCTTTGGCAAGTCCCTTCCCCACCCTGCGTCTCAGATTTCTCATCTTTGTAATAAGGGCCTTGGCTCGCGAACTTTTTTTTTTTTTTTTTTTTGCCACTAGACTTTGCAAAAATCTTGTGTTGGAGGCAGGATAACAGAGATTAAGAGCACAGACTCTGAAGTCAGCCAGTCTGGATTCAGAATACCAGGGCAGCTGTTTTGAAAACAGGGTGACCTTGGGGCTGCTTTACCCTCTTTTACTTATTTCTTCCTCAATTTCCAGTTCTCTGAATTGGGGTCAGTGCTAGCTCCGCCTCATGCAGGTGTGAGGCCCTATGAAGAGTCAGTCCTTGCATAAAGTAAGTGCTCAATAAACGTCTGTGACTGTTACTTGGAAGCTCGGGGTATGACACAGACAGTGGGAGCAGCTGGAGTTGCAATGGCACAAGGAGTGAAGCTAGCACTGCTTCTGCCACCCCGGGGTGATTACGAGGCAGTGCTCTTGGGACCCCAAGACTCAGGGAACAGTTTGAGAACCAGGGAAGCAGATACTCCCAACTAGGGGTCTACAAACTATGAACCCCGCCCACTGCCCGCCAGCTAAGAATGACCCAGACATTTTTAAATGGCTGGAAAAACTCCGTAGGAAAATAATATTCCGTGATGCCTGCTGTGTGTCTTGGGGAAATCACTTCCCCTCTCTGAACCCTCGTTTAATCATCTGAAAACGTAGCAGCTACTTGTGTTTTGTTTCCGTTAGAACACAGTTTAAGAGGTTGGAATGAATCAAATCCCTCAGTCCACGGCACATTCTCATTTGTTGCATAAGGCCCTCTTTTGTTGTATTTATTTATTTAATCTCTTTTATCTCCATTTCTCACACTCAGCCTTCCCAGAGCAACCGCTCTGCTGTGTTTACTGTATAGCTCTTTGTTTGGTTATGTTCTTGCAAAATGTTTTGATATTTGCGTATAATTTTAATTCACATAATGGTATTTACACAATGGAGATATATTCTGTACCTCCTTCTGGCTATTTTTTCAACCGCAACTATGTTTTAGGAGGTCCCTTTATATAACTGTATTTGCTCCAGAAAGCAGTATCATGCTCAGGGTGCGCACCCACCACACCTCGCCTTCGCCTTGACTAGCGATCACATCCATGTGGCTACCAACTCTCCACACCACAGAGGATGCTCTGTGAACATCATCACTAGAGTCCGCTCATGTCCTGTGTCAGAATCCCTTTAACGTTTGCATTCAGGAGCAAAACTGCTGAGATACAGGCTATCTGCACACTTAATTTGATTAAATATTTGCAGAATGACCTTAAATTAAGAAAGGCCAACCTGCCCTGGCTGGTTTGGCACGTGGACCAGAGAGACCCGAGTTCGGTTTCCGCTAAGGGCATGTACCTCGGTTGCAGTTTGTCCCCCGCCCCTTTTGGGGTCATGTGGGTGGCAACCAGTCGATGTGTCTCTCTCTCGCATCCTCCCTCTCTCCCTCCTGCTCTATCTGAAGATAAATGCAGAAATGTCCCCGGGTGAGGAGAAAAGAAGAAAGGCCAACCCGGTTCCTCCTCTCTCCAGCAGTGCTCAGCGTTCCAGGGGCCCTCAGTCCTGCCGACACTCGGCATTGTCCAGCTTTCTCCTTTCTTGCCAGTCTCATTGAAGTCAATATCATTGTTGTTTCGATTTGCATTTTTCTGGGCATTAGTGATTTTGAGCATCTCTTCAAATGCTTTAAAAGAAGGTTTAATTACAGTACCGATTTCACAAGACTGTTTTGAGAGGTGGAGATAATGTATGGGAGTGTTTAGCTCTGCTTAACACATAGTAAGTGCTCAGTGAATGCACTTTTTTTTAAGTACAATAGTTTGACTTAGTTATTATTATCATTAATACAATACTTGGCACATAGTAGGTGCTCAATAAGTGCATTCCTTTCGTCTTCCCTGACACCCTTGGGACATCCCCACTCCCACTCCTCCACTTTGCTGGGTGGGCTCCCTGACCCTTCCCACAGCCTCACCTGCATTCTCTTCACTCTCCCGGCTGAGGTCCTTCTTAATCTCCTTCAGCCCAAAGAGACTCTTCAGGATGGCGCTGGCGATGGGCAGCATCATGGCGGTGGAGGCAGTGTTGCTCAGCCACATGGACAGGAAGGAGGTGTTCACCATCATTCCAAGGATGAGCCTGGGAATGGAGGGAATTAGAGGCAGGTCTGGACCTGCGGCCCAGGAGGTCCTCTGGTCCGAGTGTGCCACCTCTGAGGCCCACAGCCCACTCATGTTACAGATGACCCCACTGCATAATAAAGTTGCCTTGGTTTGGCACCAAGACTCTCCACCATCTCAGCCCAAGCAGCCTTCCCAGCATCCTCTTCCCCTCCCCCTCCCCCTCTTACCAGGTCCCCCTGCTCAGGCTCTGCTGAACTCCTCAGCAGCACCCCAAAAGGCCCTCATCCCTCATCTCCTGCCTGCCTCTTCCTTTCTTTTTTTTTTTTTTATCCTCACCCGAGGACATTTTTTTCATTTTTTGTTCAGATAGAGTGAGAGGGAGAGAGAGAGAAACATCGACGTGAAAGGGACACATCGAGTGGCTGCCACCCGCACGACCAACCAGGGCCAGGGACAGACCGCAACCGAGGTACGTGCCCTTAGCGGGAACCGAACCCAGGTCTCTCCGGACCGCAGGCCGACGCTCTAACCGCTGAGCAAAACCAGCCAGGGCTCCTGCCTCCCTTTTATTGTTTGGTCCCTCCCACCAACAGGAATTCATGTTTCATGATCTTTTTTTCTTACATTCAACATTTAATCCACCTAGAACTTATTAAGATGTATAGTATGAAGTCAGCTCTAAGTAGATCTTTTTTCGAAGAATGAACTATTTCTCCGCCCCCCCCCACACACACTATTTATTGAATAATCCTTTCCTTCCCCTACTCAGATGTCTTCTGGATTATTTATCTGTGTTTTTAAATCTAATTCTGAACCAGCATCATACTCTCTTCATTGTTGGAACTTCAAAATAGGTTTGTCAGCCTGGCCAGTGTGGCTCAGTGGTTGAGGGTCAACCCATGTACCAGGAAGTCGCCAGATCAATCCCCAGTCAGGCACATGCCCAGGTTGTCGGCCAAATCCCCAGTGGGGGTATGCAGGAGGCAGCCAATCGATATTCTCTCTCATCGATGTTTCTATCTCTCTCTCCCTCTCCCTTCCTCTCTCTCTCAAATCAATAAAGAAAAAAACAAACTAAAATAGGCTTGCCAGCTGCTGCATCCATTTTTCAAGGTCAGCTGTTAGCTCCTCCATGACGTCACCCTTACCTCACTTGGGCTCCCAGAGCATGTGTGTCCCTGGGTATCAGATGCTGCTATAGATAGAATCTCTCCCCAGGACTGACAGTTCCTCCAGGAGGAAACACAGCTGCAGAGCCTAGCAGAGTGCTTGACCCAGAGCAGAGGCTAAAAACCTACAAGTTATCCAGAACCTTCCTCACCTTCACCCCCAGCCACACCCCCATCACAAAAAGAGCTTTCAAATTCTGTCCATCTCCACCGCCAGCACCTAGTCCAAGCTGCTAACATCTCTTGTCAGGGTGCCCAGCACCGTCTCCTGCTGGGCTGCATCCCTATTCCCATAGCTCTTCTGCTCCCCAGGTGGCAGCCACCAGGGACTTGTTAAAAATGCAAATCTCGCCCTAGCCAGTTTGGCTCCGCGGTTAGAGCATTGGCCTGCGGTCTGGAGAGACCCGGGTTCGGTTCCCGCTAAGGGCAAGTACCTCGGTTGCAGTTTGTCCCTGGCCCTGGTTGGGTCGTGCGGGTGGCAGCCACTCGATGTGTCCCTTTCACGTCGATGTTTCCCTCTCTCTCTCTTCCTCTCTCTCCCTCCCACTCTGTCTGTACAAAAAATGGAAAAGTGTCCTCGAATGAGGATAAAAAAAAAAGAAATGCAAATCTCATAAGGTCCCTCTCGGGCTTAGAACTCTTCAAAACAGAGTTTTATAACCAGGGTAGGGCCACAGATATCATTCAGGATGGAAAGGAGGGAGAAAAATACATCTTTATTTTATAAACACCTAATAGAAATGATTTCCTTCCTTGATAAACAGAGGCCACACAGTTCAGCGGTATTAGAAGTGCCTGGGACTTGGTCTCCCATTAAGATCACATACATTTTCCTATCGCATGACTGCATAGCAGGTGACATCTGGGAATATCACTGACACTCGAAACGACAGTTGTTGCCCCGGCCGGTGTGGCTCAGTGGCTGAGCGTTGTCCCGTGCACCAAAAGGGGGTGGTCCAGGGTGCGTGCTGGAGGCAACCGCTCGACGTTTCTCTCTCACATCGATGTTTCTCTCTCTCTCTCTCAAATTCAATAAAATAACTACAGTTGTGGTTAGGCCAGTTGCTAGATCCTGTCACGTAGTGGAAAAGGGTAGATATGATACTATATCACAGATTTGTTCTAAACAAACATTTGGATGACTGTGTTTTGCTGTAATGGTTGCAGTTATTGTCGTTGTAAAGCCCCTGTCCTGTGCTTTATGGGAAGAAATATATTTGGGAAGGAATCCTTAAGATTCACCAAATTGCCAAAAAAAAAAAAAAAAGATGAAAAGAATAGCAATGGCCCTATTTAAAGGCCATCCAATCCTCTTAGAATAAAAGTCCAAATCCTAGCCAGGGGCCGGAGGACTGAACCCTGCCTCCTGTCTCTCAGGTCATTCCGACCCACTCCCCACCCACCCTGTCACTTTGACCGGTAAACAGCAAACCTGGGTGGTGACGGCCACATTCGCTGCGTCTCTGCCATGTGGCCATCGCGTTGCCAGGTCACAGACAGACACAGGGCAAGTCGTTTCCAGAGCAGGACAGTGGAATTCATACTGCTGACCGGCCCCTTCTAAAGCTACTGGGCATGAATCCCTGGGCGCGGCCCAGGGGCAGCATTCCAACTGATTTCCCAGTGATCCTTACGTACTTCTGGGAATCCCCACCCCAGAACTGAGCACTGTGCCTGGCACACAGAGGGGCCTCCTTAACATCTGAGGGGTGAATGAGGACGTGGAAGGCGGGACGTGAGTTTGGTAGTGGGATGAGCAATGAGGAAGAGGGGATTTGGGCTCCAAGAGATGGGGTCCCCCCGCCTCCCCACCTTTGGGCTGGCCCCGTTACCTGGCCTTACCAGGCCGGCTGGACCCCGACCAGCATCAGGATCTTGAGGGCGATTCTCCGGTGCAGGTTCCACTCCTCGATGGCGCTGGCCATGATCAGACCGCTGAGGAAGAGGAAGTTGGTGTCCAGGAAGTACTGGGGGCAGACGACGCTGGACTTCAGGATCCCCAAGACGGGGAAGAGGGTGATGGGCAGCATGGCTGTCACCGAGAGGGGCAGGGCCTCCGTGCACCAGTACACTGCCATGAGCAGGATGACAAACAGGCAGCGGCCTTCCTGCGGGGGGAGAGGCAGGCTCAGGAGGGGCAGCAGAGCTTGGGGGGCGGGGGCCGAGGAGGCCCTGCAGCAGGGGCCCTGCAGGCACATTGCTTGGGGAGGCGGTGGAGAGGCTCAGTGCCCAAGGCTTTGACCTCCAGCAGGTGGCATCACCTCTCTGAGCCTCATTTTGCTCTGTCCCGTTTGTAGGACTGTCTGCGGATTCTATGAAATGCTCCATTGTCTTAGAAGTAGACACTAGACCCTGAGGCGAGCACGAGAGTGAAAACAGTTTACTTAACAAGGGATCTCAGAAAGTTCCAGAAGGGCAGTGGGGAAGTGAAACAGTGAAGGAAGACAATAAGGAGTGTGTTAATGAGGTTCCCACTGTCAGCAAGTGGGGGTACCCTGGGAGACGGTGTAGATCACGCTTCATAGTTGTCTCCCTGGACGGCAAAGCAACTGGGGTCTTCATCTGCCATCCCCTGGTCATCGCTGGCCCGCCCCTCCAGCTGCCCCGCGCAGCCAGGGAGCCGGGGGCTCAGCATCCAGGTGCAGGAAGAAGCCATTGGCACGTGCGGAATGGTGAGTGCCGGTGGGGCTGTGGAGGGAGCACCATAGCAACTGCCACATCTATACCTGGCAGGTAGCTCGATGCCCGACACCTAGCGCACACTCCGTACGCAGTAACAATGATGACGCGGGCTTTATTGGGCCCTGATGGTGGGAAAAAAGTGGTATAGCCACTGTGGAAAACAGAACGGCGGCTCCAACAAACAGTAAATGGAATTAGCACACGACCCAGTATTTCCTCTTCTGGGTATTAAACCCCAAAGAATTGAAAGCGGAACAGCAAAGAGTATTTGTACACCTATGGTCATGGCAGCATTATTCACAAAAGCTAAGCTTCGGAAGCAACCCAAGCATCCACTGACAAATGAATAAGAAAAATGTGATATATATGACGAAATACTATTCAGCCTTAAAAAGAAGGCAAACTCGGACACGTGCTGCATCGCGGATGAACCTGGAAGTCAGTATGCCAAGTGAAAGGAGCCAGCCACAAAGAGATGAATATTGTTCCACCCCACGTATGGAGGGACCTACAGTAGTCAAACCCACGGGACAGAAAGTCAATTAGGGCAGAAGGTGGAGTCACAAGACCTTCAGATCCTGTTCCTCTGAATTTTAACTTCTGGAGTTCAGAGCTTGGGGGAGGTGTCTGATCAGGCAGGCCCACTTTCTGGCTCAACTGAGTCAGCACTTTGCCTCCCGGCCTGTCCTTTGCCTCCTGTGTTCTGTCCAGAGGTTCTGCTTCAAGAAGGCTGCCCAGGGTAGGTGGAGTCCTGGCTCCAGGTGAGACATCTCTCAGCTCTCCTGATGATCCCCTTGGCCGCTGGAAGCTGGCATGACTCAGCTGAAACCTCCAGGGGTGGATGAGTCCCAAGGAGGCTGTGCCCGAGGGGACAGGCACCCGCTTGAAGTGGGTGGGGTCCAGGGATGGCTGAAATGGAAGGGGAAAGAGAGCAAGGACATCTCTAGGGCTGAGCTGTCCAAGGGCAACAGCTTGGCCGCAGGGGGCTGTTTAGGTTCATTCCACTTAAGTGAAATTTAGAATTCCAGTTTCTCGGTCACACGAGCCACAGTTCCAGTGCTCGGTAGCCACAGGAGACCAGTGACCACCTGGAAGGACAGACAGCACAGGACATCGCCGTCATCGCAGAAAGTTCGCCGGGACGGAGCTGCTCTCGAGAATTCAGGACTCAGGGCCAGGAAGCCTGGACACCGCAGTTTGGCTGCTGAAACTTTGTGCCAAGTCACTGAACCCTCTGAGCCTGCGAATCGGGAATAATAATCTGGGGGCGTCTGGGTCACAGAGGACCCCACTGAAATCATTTCTTTACTTTTCTTGGTATTTCACAGGGAAATAAATATCTGCTCAGTAGTTTCTCCAGCTCCACAACACAGCTCTTCAGCATTTATTCTTTCCTTTTTATTCAATGTCCCCTTTCTGCTTTCTCGTGCTGTCTTTTTTGTGGGCCCCATGCTGGCTATTCGTCACAGGATGGGGGCCACTTGTGAGACCAGTTCTCTGTTGAAGGCAAGTGTGGGAGCGGGGCTGGGAGGAAGCTGGGGTGTCGAAGCATCGGCACAGCTAGTTATCTCTGAGTCCTCGGTCACCGGCGCTGCCCTGAGATGTGCCCTCTCTAAGCGCTAGGCTTGCTGTGGAGACTCCGTGTGAAGACCCAAGCAGGTCACAGTTCTTTGGGGTCTCTTTGAGCTTTCGTCTCTGTGCCTGGCTGAGAAAGAACACTGGAACCGTATTACAATGACACAGCTGATCATCCCTGTCCTCTGTCTTCCGCCCCCTCCCAACATCCTGCTCCTGCCAGCCGTCCTGGAGCTTCCTCCATCCATCCGACCCCTGGCACGTGGCTCTCGGGACCCTCCCTGGCTGCTGGGCATTGTCCGGCTTTGCCAGGATTGGGAAGAGCTCGCAGAGGTGAAAAGTACTTCTGGAGACCTCGGGGTCCTGCCTGGGAGCTGCAGGCTCAGGTGGCTCCTGGTTTCCTCCCGCCACTTGGTCCAAATCCCATCGCCGTTGTCACTTCTTCACACACCAGGGGTGGGACCGGTCTGCGCTCCTCATCGAAGGTGCCATTTCCTTCTCCCTTTGCACTGCTGGTTGCTGTTGTCGGGTTGCTTCAGAACGGGGGATGGAACAGAAAAGTCTAGATCCCACCAGCTTAGACCAGCAGCGCCTTGCACCTGGTCGTGGGGCCTCAGGGAGAACAATATTTTCTTTCATTTATCTGAGTTTTCTAAACTTTCTACGATAAACAGGCACAGCAGAAACAACACAAGGTTTGGAATCAGATAAGCCGTGTGACCCGGGGCCAGTCACTTCATGCCCTCACCCTGTAGGCACAGGACAACAGAACCTGCCTCGGAGAGAGACCCCTTTACATACGATAACCGACCCAGTGATGGACACGCGGGGACGCTCAATAAATACGAGCTATTGTTATGTTGGGTAAATGATTAATAATCATGTTAATGTCCTTGATTATTAATAATTCAAGTTCAATTTCTTAAATACTCTTCTTAAATCTTAAACTATGACAGCCAGAATAAATCTGAGATCATTCAATCCCAGGATTCTCAACAGAGGGCGATTTTGTCCCGCTGGGGACGTGTGCCTGGGGACGTTTTTTGGTTGTCACGGTTGGGGGGGATTTGGTGGGGGGTGGCCAGGGATGCTGCTACACTTCCTGCAGTGCCCAGGACAGCCCCACAAGGAAGCATTCTTCTTCCTCGGCTGTCTGTCCCTAGTGCTGGGGTTGGAAACCCTGGTCTCATCTAACCCTGAGTACCGTGGTTGCCCAGAGAAGGAAAGCGCCTTTCCTGAGCTCACACAGCCGGCCGAAGGGAAGGACCCTTTGGCCTTATTGCCCTGAAAGACCGCTGTGCCCAGAGCTTTGTCAGGCTGCAGGAGTTGATGGCGGGGCAGAGACTGGAGAAAGGCAGGTAGGTGCACAACCCTGACAGTGAGCCCACCTTGAACTTTGCTCCCTGGGTGCTTCCCCTGGTCCTGGCCCTGGACGAGGAAGGTCCCCACAGCCCCGGAGCAGCCCTCTTCACGCCAACCTAACCCAGACATTTCTTACTGGAAGCCTCATAATGCCCCATCCGCGCCGGAGAAATCCAGCTTCTCAGGCTTAGCCGGTCCTTCACCGCCAGGATTAAAGTCTGCAGGCAAAGGCTGCTGGGGGCGGGGAGGGAGAGGAAAACGCTCCATCAGGCGGTTAATTTGTGAGCTGGGGAATGACTTCCAGGCAGACACAAGGCGACGTTTATCCCATTGCCCCAGTTTGCCCCCGCCACTCTCTCGGGAGAAAGAGAGCTGGTCTGTTCTCTGAGCCTTGGTCTGGAAACTACCCCCATCCCCCACCCCATCCCCCCAGCTCCCTGGTGGGTAGCAGCAGGTACTTTTGTAGGGCGCTGGACTGTCCCCAGGCTCTCGGTAGGCACTGGTGACCATGCCAGGCCCTTTGGGGGGAGGACTGGGGCCAGCTGCCCACTAGAGGCCTGTTCCCCAGTAGTGTCCAGGGCCGGGTGGTGCGAAGGCCTGAACTCTGAACTCTAGAAAGGCGGAAGCCATGCCTTAAATGTCAAAGCATTCTCCCGCCGCCCCCAGCCCAGGGCCCATAGGCAGGTGATCGGAGCCTCCAGAGTCAACCAGGGTTTGAAGCATCATGGCTCCGGCTCCGTTACCGGCGTCAGTGACCTTGGGCAGATGGCTTCCCCACTCGAAGCTTCAGTTTGCTCACAGGTAACTGAGGAATGGTGGCATCACAGAGTCACCACAAGGGGACAGCACCAGGAAGATGGCCAGTGCCGGGAAAGCTGGGGCTGTTGGGATCCGCAGACAGGGAGCTAGGAAACAGGGGCTGAAGCCTGGGCCCGATGCCAGGAAACAGGGGGGCCTACGAGTTACGAGTTTGGCAGCCAGTGCCGGAGTGCCTGGGTTCAAATCCTGCCTCTACCAGTTCCTAGAGCAGGGGACTTAATTCTGTACCTCAGTTTCCTCATCTGTAAAATGGAGATGATGATAATGAGGTTAAGAATTTCAACCTCAGAGAGTTGTTGTAAGGATGAAATAAGTTAATGTAGCTAAAGAGCTGGGAGCCATGTAGGGCAGAAAAAACTATGTGTGTGTGTGTGTGTGTGTGTGTGTGTGTATAATGTATATATATACACATTATATATACACACATTATATATATTTATTTATTTTATTAACATTTTTAAACATTGATTTTTAGAAAGAGAGGAAGGGAGAGGGAGAGCGAGATAGAAACATCAATGAGAGAGAAACATTGATGGCCGCCTCCTGCACGCCCCACACTGGGGATCGAACCTGAAACCTGGACATGTGCCCTGACCAGGAATCAAACTGGAGACCTCTCGGCGCATGGGCTGACACTCGGCCGCTGAGCCGCACCGGCCGGCTACACTAC